CTGGTCTTTTGGCGCTTCATCTGCCACCCTGGTATAATCAGGCATGGTATCGGCCTCGCACGAGAGATGCGTCTCTAAGGTGGTTGTGTTTCTCACCACAATTACAAGCCGGTGGTGTCGCGGAGATGCGAACTTTACTTCACTTTACTGGGAAGTCTAGGCGAACTTTGGCCATATCACTGATTCAGGGAGTCGTATAATACGATTCCGACTCCCTGGCCATATCTGTGAACACAGCAAGAGACTGGGTCTGAGCATAGAGTCCTCTGGAAGAACATTCCATCTGTTGACATACTAATAGACTGGTAGAGTGCATTCCAGACTGTGTAGAAGCAAGTGGTACTGGTAGTACAAGAGCATGCAAACGAGTGTTTGCTGATCGAAAATTGTTCGAAGGTCTCCCACACCATCCTTTGCAGACTACGGAGTCAGCTCCATGTAGAAGTGTTAGTAGTAGTAGTAGTAGTAGTAGTAGTAGTAGTAGTAGTAGTAGTAGTATTAATTTTATTATTTTACTTGGGTATACCCAACCGGGCTTCTTACAGGGTGCCCAAGGAGCCCCCATGAGTAGGAACAACGACCTCATCTCGGCCTGCGTGGTGCAACACGTAGACTAGTGTAGTGTAGTGTAGTATAGTGTAGTGTAGTGTAGTGTAGTGGTCTGTTGCAAAACAAGCAAGAGTACATGTACAGCACTGTAAAGGATAGGAGTTCAACGCCATGATGACCCAGGGTAGCCGAGATAACTTTGAAACACTGGGAACATTGGCATACCAACGTCAAAGACTGGAAAGATAGAGATAGCACCATTCGATAAAATCAAGAATGGCGATTACCCCTCCCATGGCTCTGCTGGGCAGTCACTGAAGTTCATTCATCCCTTTTCCTTTATTTTTCTCCCTATCACTATCGCTTGGATGGCAACTCTTTTCATCGTGAGTCAACAAACACCCAGGCATACTCCTTTGAGCTCACTGTGATCAGTGACTTGTCATAATTATAATATTATTATACATGCATCAGTGGTTTGGTGAGCACTAGAGCGCCAGAGCTACGGATCATGGTGCATGCACAATAACCACGGGGTGGACGACCAGGGCAGATCACAAAGACGATGATGAGCTACACCGGCAAGCAGCAGTGAACTAGCCAGATAAATTGGAGAAAGCCAGGACGACTAAGCACATGAACCTTCAGTTCCCGAAATGTGCAAAATGGAAACTCTTGAGATCACAGAAGTTTCCAAGTCTCTCAACAACATTACAGTCACCGAGACACCAGTTGCAAAGTACAGTCAGTATCGCCTATAAGGTTGGCGGCTATAGTGATATACCGGATATAGTGATCAATTTCTCAAATTCATTTTCATTTGCCATAACTAAGTATACACAGTTACCGCGTATAGTAATAATCGTCTATAGTAATATATCGCCTATAGTGATCAAATTCTTATTTCAAAAGACCTTTGTTACATTATTTTTGCATCGGTTATAGTGATTGATGTAAAATCAAGCGATGTCAGAGGAGAACAGGGTGTTGCTTTTTCGTGAAGAACTTGTCCAGTGAGTGTTGTTTGGTGAGTTTTGCTCGTACAAGTTGCCAAAATATGCCTCCATTGTGAGGAAATGCTGATTTTGTGTGTCAGGAGCTACAGCCAGCTACATGACATTGTACATGTATGTAGTGCGCATGTGCACGGCGCGCTGAGTCGTTTGACACCCCACTCGCATACATTGCATGTATAATGCAGTATCGGTCATAGTAATAATTATATCGCTTATAGTGATAAAATGCTCAAAATCAAACACCAACGCTATAGGCGATACTGACTGTATCAAGGCGACTGACATCTTCGTCACTGTGATGAAACCCACCCATAATGCCAGTCACCCATAATGCCAGTCACCCATAATGCCAGTCACCAATAATGGTTGTCGGATGGGTTACAGTATGTACAAAATACATACTGTAGGTGAAAAAGGAGAAGGACAACATGTTACGAGTTACGAGTTATGACTAACTGTCCACTAACGTAACCAGATCTTATACAGTCAGCGAGTGCGACAAAATGGCACAAAACTGACAAGGAGTACTGAGACATTCGGCGACCTGACACCTAGTGTTCACGAGGCTCTCCTTGACTATACATTAGATAGTGTGTCTGGACACGGACTATTGGATGCATTGTTCTGTGCATGTATGGTACTTTAGGTAACTGCAGGCTAGACGAGCCATACCGATTCTATGTGCATGCCCTACAGCATTATGGCGCTTTGCTGGTTTGTATTCATCCATTTTCACGGTACTTAGACATTTGAGGTAGACGTGTAGGCGCCTTTCCATAGATCATGTCAATAGACTAGTAGTGGGCACGCCAGACACATTGTGGCATCGCCGTGTTTCAGTATTGTCAGTTTGCACCTATGTGGTCGCAGTTCTATCGCGACAAGCTGTGCATTTGCCTCTAGGCAATTCACCTTTCCTTAGCTACGCTGCAGTTGTGCTGCGATATTCATCTATAGCATAATATTGGTCTGTGTGATCGAATCCATGTGTTCAATGCATTCTAGGTTGCTAACATAACAAACCAGACCAGACACGGTATGGACTCATGATTGTATGTAGGTGTGAACAAGTTAGTTTCTGGCAATGTTGTGGTGTTTGGTTTCCGCCCAACATTGTCGATCTGCATGTTTGCACTAGCGTGCAGCTGAACCAACGCAGCCGAACCAACGTGCCTTGCAATGCTTTGCTAGGCTTTTCTTTCGCTGTATCTTTTGGTCACATATAATACCGTACACTTTGCTTTTACTCACATATAGCACGTTTGCGTTTTGGTTATATCGAAGAACCCAGTGTGTAGTTACGATCCATCACAGTTTCAATGTTTATGGACTAGCGTGGTGTAGTCCTGCGGAACATTAATGGTAGCAGAGGATGGTTATCGCGTAACGCCATCATGTCGAACGAAGAGCAACACGATCTCACCATATCGGGTGAGGGCGAGCAAGAGGAAGTCGGACCTGCCGCAAATGCGGCGGAAGGTCACAGCGTGGACCAGATCGGAAGAGCCGAGCTGATCCAGTTGAAGGCCGACAAGGTACAACTGAAGCGCGAGTGCACAAATCGTCGACGTGCACTGACGGTAGCGCTGAGAGATGGCCACGTCGGCAAAGATGAAGCGAACGAGATGTTCGATTCGATCGCCACAGTTGAGTCCCAGCTGAATACACTACTGCTACGACTACAGGAGCTGTATTTCGCTGTCGAGGACGAAACCAGCATGGACAAGACGACAGACGAGATGGAAGAGTTAGAAAAGGACATGCGTGGAATAGGAAAGCAGCTCGATAAATTCGTGGAGAGCTGCGAAGATGCCGAGAGACGACAGAGAGATTTCGAATCCGGCAGTCAGAGCACCTGGCAGAGGGGTGACGGCATAAGCGATAGTAGTGCTGGTGGTGGAGACATGGGTCTCTCTGACTACGGACTGGACATATACGAACAGTACAGCAGTGGACTGAGCGCCGGTGCCACGACCTATGAGTATGAACCGAGCAACGCGCAGAGAGGTCACCGAGCTGGGGCAGCGGAGACTACAGCCAGTCCCCAAGTACCAAGTGCCAGCGCCAGCGCAATCGAGTAGTACTAGTAGTACTAGTAGTAGTACTAGTACCCTGGCCACAGTAATTGGCCAGGCTTCTCAAGCACCCATGACAGCTCAAGCGCCTATCAGTGTCATGCAACAGGCTATCAGCAGCACTACACAGTCCACAGCTAGTGCTGCCAGTGCAGGACCTACAACAAGTACAAGTAGAGTGAGGTTCACCAGAAGTACTGGGGCTGCAGCGTACAGTACAAGCCTGCATGCGATGCAGCCAGGGCTGAGCAGTTTCAGCACTACAGGCCAGTACAGTATGGCCAGTCGAAGTACCAGTAGTAGTAGTAGCACTAGAAGCGTACAGACAGGGCCAACTGGCCAACCCTATAACGGCAGCTACATATACAGCAGTAGTGGTTATGGTGCTAACAGCTACAGTGCCATGCCAAGTATGCAATTCAGTAGTCCCAACCAGTATGGAACACAGCAACCTATGTGGACAGGCAACAACATCACGCAGCCTAGCTATGCAACCTATAGCAACGTCCCACAAATGGTCGCACAGACACCAAGCATGACAACTCAGCATGGTCTAGCCTTACCTGCTGCAGAGTCCACCACCATGCCACAACCGCAGAGTGCACTGACGGCACCTCACCAACCGGAACCATGGCGGCAGCTGAAGCAGATCGGCATTCCGACATTCAACGGCGACAAAAGAAAATTCGAGTCTTGGCGTGCGGCGTTCATGGCATGCATAGACGCATCTCCGGCAGCACCAGAGTACAAGCTACTGCAACTCAGGCAGTACCTAGTCGGCGACCCACTGGACTCCATCGATAGCTTAGGCTATTCCCCTGCTGCGTACGAGGCCGCCAAAGCGCTACTGGTCAGGAAGTATGGCGGAGAACGCAGGCGTGTCGCGATCCACGTAGAAGAAATCGAGCAGTTCGGTAAGGTTGGCTACAACAGAGCGTCCGAGTTCGAGAAATTCACGGAGCTCCTCGAGGTAGTAGTCATCAACCTGAAAGACAGCGGCCGGGCCGCAGAACTGGAGGCTGGTACGTTCTACCAGAAGCTCCTCCGTAAGTTCGACGAACGTGTGCTTGCACAGTACCATCGATGGCGGTATGATCGGCAAGTAGAAGAGTCCGTCGAAGCCCTGCTCGAATGGGCACGAGTAGAATCAGAGCTAATGATGATCTCGGCAGAAACGGTGAGCGGCGTAGCAGTAAAAACCACGCCCCAACAGCAGCAACCACCCCGAGATAACCGGTTCCAGAGGCGTAGTGCTCCGCCTAGTCGCAACCACGCATATCATGCTTAACAGAAGAGCGACGTCAACTGTGCAGTATGCAAAGGCGCACATCCCCTGTGGAAGTGTGCGGCATTTAAGGTCATGTCGGTCAATCAGCGTTGGCGGCTCGCCAAGCAGAGCAACGCGTGCTTCCGGTGCTTGGGCAGTGGCCATGCTGGCAAGGACTGCCCCCGTGATCGTGAGTGCCCAGTTAGTGGATGCATCAAACATCACCACCCGCTGCTCCATGGCAGCAATGTTACTGGCGGCGCACAGCCAACTCCGGAAGCTGAGAAGCCCGCACCCCAGACATCACTGGTCACGACTGTCACAGAGGGGGAGCCAGAAGCAGCGACACATGTGGCACAAGGGCGCCGGACGGACCGTGTAGCTCTACGGACAATCCCGGTGACACTGTGCAACGGTCAGCAGTCAGTGACTGTCAACGCTTTGCTGGACGATGCCAGCACTGTGACGTATGTGCACACTAGTATCGCCACTCGACTCGGTTTGAGTGGCAAACGCCAACGGACGACGGTCAGCACGCTCAATGGCAAACTGGAGACGTTCGAGACTATGCCAGTAGACATCGAGCTGAGGAGTGTTGATGGCAACTTGAAGCAGACGATCACGGCGTACACCACCGACAAATCCGTGACTGGCGACCTTCGCGCAGTCGACTGGCTAGAAGAGGCTAGTAACTACCCGCACCTGAGGGAGATTCCGTTCCCAGCGGTGGGAGAACACGACACTGTAGATATGCTGATCGGCAGTGACCAAGTCCAGCTGCACGTATCGACGCGTGACGTCATTGGTGAACCTGGGCAACCTGTCGCTAGGTTAACACCGCTCGGATGGACCTGCGTAGGGAAGCTCAGAGCACCCAACTCCAAGCAGACGCAGGGCCCACAGCCCAACCGTTCGTACTACGTCGGTGGAGACAAGTCAATTGCAGGAATCGAGCAAGCCCTGCAACAGTTCTGGAAGGTCGACAGCTGTGGCGTCGAGACGGACAATGCGGCTCCAGGACCAACATCGGCAGACGAGGCCGCAGCGGTGAAATTAGTGGAAGACTCCACGCGGCTAGTAGACGGCCGGTATGAAGTATCGATACCATGGAACAGTCGTAAGGCGGAGTTAGTCAACAACGTTGATATGGCGACTAAGCGGCTGGAGTCAACACGTCGACGACTGCAACGTGAACCGCAAGTAGCCCGAGCATACGCCAGAGTGATCCAAGATTACCTCGAGAAAGGATATATCACCGACGTCACTGACGAAGCGCCTACCGACCAATGCTGGTATCTGCCACACTTCGCCATTGTGCGGCCACAGAAGACGACAACTAAGGTCCGGATTGTGTTTGACGCAGCCGCCTCCTACCACGGCATCTCACTTAACGACGCCATCCACGCCGGCCCGAAGTTGCAGCGAGACCTTTGCGATGTTCTCACCCGGTTCCGAAGAAAGCCCATCGCCGTTGCCTGCGACGTAGCAGAGATGTATCTGCAAGTTTCAATACGCCCCGAGGACAGGCCGTACCACCGCTTTTTGTGGCAGGACCCGGCCTCCGATGGTCCGGTCAAGAAGTACCAGTTCAACCGCTTAGTCTTCGGTGTAAACGCGTCGCCATTCTTGGCTCAGTATGTCGCCCGCCAAGTCGCGGACGCAAGCGTCGATACCCACCGATCAGCAGCAGAGGCCATCCTGGACAGTACGTACATGGACGATACGATGGACAGTACTGCCACGGTCGCCGACGGTACCAAGCTCCATGACGACCTAATGGAGCTGTGGGGGAAGGCAAGCATGCGACCGAGAAAGTGGTTATCCAACTCGACTGCGTTGCTGAGTACGATCCCAGAAGAAGAACGCGCAGCGGATGTCGACCTGACGGTGGGAGACCTACCATCGGTAAAAACGCTCGGAGTGACATGGTCTGCCCTCGATGACGAGTTCACGTTCCGCGTGCAGCAACCGGATCTGCCCAAGCGTATCACAAAGCGCTACCTCTTGCAGCGGACAGCAGCCGTATTCGACCCACTCGGCTTCATATCGCCGTTCGTCGTTCGAGGCAAGATGCTGATGCAGGAATGCTGGATGAGTGGCGTCGACTGGGACGAGCAACTTCCCGACGCGATAGTTGATAAAGCCCAGCAATGGTTCCAAGAGTTGAGCGAGCTCAGCAACGTCCGAGTCCCGCGTCAATTTGAAGCATCGACCGGCAAGCTCGAGCTGCATGCATTCTGCGATGCGTCCAGCGAAGCCTATGGAGTTGTTCTGTATGCGAGAAGTGTGCGCGAAGATGGAACAGCGGAGTGCAGATTCCTCGTGTCGAAGAGTCGTGTCGCGCCCACCGCCGCTACCAGCATTCCCCGGCTCGAGCTCATGGCGGCAGTTCTCGGCCATCAGGTTGCCACTCGAATGAGTAAAGTGCTCGACGTGCCACTTAGTACTGTCACCTTCTGGAGCGATAGCACTGTGTTGCCACACCTGCCGACATGTCGGTAGACTGCCGATTTTGGAGGCTTGTCAGGACCTGCCGACAATTGACCTTCTCCTGCCGACAATAGCCCTGAAAAGTCCAATTTTGACCTTCTTGGTCTAGAAAACATGGTTCAGATTTTTTTGTTTTTTCTGATCATCACGAGTATTTTCCATAGACAGCTCTCTCCTCAGGTGCTAAGCGATATCATCGTCTGGCTCGAGAAAACCTGGAGTCATCAAGCAAAGTAGCTTTTATCCAACTGAACAAGACCGGGACACTCAGCCTTCGAACAATTTGAAGTTCGATCGGACGCTCTGACTTTTGTCAGTACGACCGTACTCGACTCATACGCACTGCACTTGCACTCGTGCCGGTGCACCGGCATGCGGCAGTGCATGCATGCACACGTAGATCTACTCGTACGTAGTCGACTAGTCGTAGTGTGCAGTCACTGCAGTGCCCCGCATATCGCGCATGCACTCGGCCCAGTGCATGCAGTGCATGCACGCGGCCCTGTGCATGCAGCGCCAGTGCCAGTGCAGCCAGCGGCATGCGGCAGTCAGTGTGCAGTGATCCGTAGATCTACCCGGGCCGTCGCGCTTTGGATCGCATCCGGATGCTAACTGGGCCAGTCCGATCGAGCGTGGGCCATGCAGTAAGTCTACTTTTTTTTGTAGAACTCTCTGTAGCAGTGTCTGTACACACTGTAGGTCACACGATACGTGGATAGTCGATACCCGATACTCCGATAGCGCTAAGTGTGTCTTTCTTCTTTCATGCACTGGCGCCATGGCACAAGTCATAGATCTACATGACATACATTGTATGCTGTGTTTGCATGCATGCACCAGGCTGTATACAACGAGTCATGTACAATCAGACTGATGAGTGATGTACTGCATGCACTGCTACGCGATCCGGTGCATGCACAAATAATTCAATACAAGTACAGTAGTCAATAGTGTAAACTGAGACTTTCGCTGACTGTTCATGCGGTACTGTATTCTGTAGATCTAAATAGACTGAAATACTAGTAGTCACTACGTGGCAGTGCGCATTTAGGCCGCTTGTCCTAGCAATAGATCCTGTCAGTGCTTTAGTCTAGACCATCTTATTCTACATGATGCAGACAATCATTACCGGTACATGTATTCATAATTCTGCTCGGACAAGCCCGTGCCGGTAACACCATTGACATTCGCAAAGTCGAATACAGTACCTCGAGCCCTTCAGTCACGCAGTGGTGTCCCGCCCTGGCCATACATGATTCAGTCGTAGATCTGTCTTGCTTGCTTGCAACGCAGCTAGCCAAGAGGAGCAAGAGACGTCGCCCCTCCACGGCTCCAGACGTACGACCTGCGAGGCGAAATGGGTGCCCCGCCCTGTCACAGTACCGGTAATACAGTCATGTTCAGTACGATTCAGTCACAGGAGTCGACTCGTATGACTTGCGGGCTTGGAACACAGCTAGCCAATCGTCTTCGGACATACGATATCACCCGCGATGTGAAAAGAGCATCACACACGTACACTGCCACTGGATATGTCGCCCATTGTCGGTATGATGCAGCCCACCAGGCGCAGGTGTACTGCACCATACTGGCGATGAATAGATCAAGGCAGGAGTAGGACTTTTGTGGTGAAAACAGCAACCAAAAAAACATGCCAATGATGCAGCGCGCTGGTGCTCTGCAGCGTATAAAGGCGGAGTTGTGTCCTTGTGAAAAGTACCAGATGCCGGAGCAACGAGACTTCTTCTTCCTCTTTTTGTTTTGAGTCGGAGGTGATGTAGTTGACTTGTGTAGCGTAGCGTGCTGAGAAAGAAATACCGATAGTTTGCTTTATCAGTGTGATGTCTAAGTCTGACTCTGACGGGGAAGACTCCCCGCCACGTCCCCTAGCGAAAAGGAAGAGAGTAAAATGGTCCCAGGCTTACATGAAGGAATGGGAGGCCGAACCGGAGTTGTCTGGCTGGTTGACAAAATCCAAGCGGACTGAAGGAAAGGCCTTTTGCATAGTCTGCTGCTGCGACCTTAGTTATCACAACGGCGGAGTCGCTGACTTGAAGAAGCATGCGGGGCGGGATGTCCACAAGGCCAATGTCCGAAGTCGGGAACTGCATGGAGATTTGCGCAAGGTGAAAGCTGGCCCGAAGCAGCGAGATGCCATGTCAGTGGCATGCAGCAACGCTGTTTTGCAGCTGGGTTTTTTCCTCGCTGAGAATCATCTGGCAATTGCAACTGCAGACCGCTTGACACCGCTGATAGCCGCTATGTGCCCGGATTCGAAGATCGCTGCAGGGATGAAAGCTGCGAGGACCAAGATGACGGCCGTGGTGCACACAATTGCGGAGGATATGCACTCCAACCTCCTCCAGATACTACGAAGATCGTACTTCTCGATCATGCCCGACGAGTCCGCGGATGTTTCTGTACAAGAGCAAGTGGCTGTTGCGGTCAGAGTGTTCAACAGCGATGAGGGCTGTGTCCGAACCTACAGCCTAGGCCTGCGTCCCGTGGACCAAGCCAATGCAGAGAGTATTTTCGGTATCATCTCGTCCATGTTGGAAGACGGTGGACTGAGCTGGGACAATGTCATTGGGTACTGCTCGGACGGTGCCAATGTCATGCGAGGGTCACGCAATTCTGTTATGACCCGGATCCTTGCCAGGCAGCCCCATGCGTACACCCTCCATTGTGTATGCCATGTTGCACAGCTGTGTGCACAAGCTGCGTGCGATGCCCTGCTACCGGATAATTTCCAGGACTGGCTTCAGCGTGTGGCGTACTTCTTTGACCGGTCTCCAAAAAGAACTGCCGCCCTGAGGAAGGTGCAACAAGAGTATGATGTCAAGCAGCACAAGCTAGTCAAGCCTGCGCCGACGAGATGGCTGAGCCTGCATGCATCTGTAATGCGGATGCTGGAGCAGTGGGAGGCCTTGCTCCACTACTTTCAGTCGTGCCCGGATGTCTGCCAACTGCAAAACGTAATGGACTGGGTGTCATTGATGGAGCGACCAGAAACGAAAGCGTATTTGCTGTTTCTGGGAGAGGTTCTCCCATTGTTTGTCACATTCAACCTCAGTTTCCAAAGTGAAGACGTGAAAGTTCACTTACTTTCAAAGTCCCAGGCCCAGCTGCACAGAATGCTCCTCTTTAATTGCGTGAAGGCTTCCGCAGTACGTGGCGCAGATGGCAACGTTGATACGGAGATTCAGCTTGACATTTATGATGATGAGTTGGAGCTGTCAAGGCGAGACATGATTATTTCGGCAGACGCTATGGCATTGCTCGCCACATTGCCGGACGAACGCCGAAAGCGGTTTGCAACCAGAGTTCGCAGTTTCTACCAGACGGCTGTGGTGCAGGTCAGGAGAAGGCTGCCGCTAACGTGCCCAGTGCTGCGTGGGCTAGAGTTCCTTTGTCCTGTAGCTGGAAAGGACTGTGCTGCTCAAAGTGTTGCGGATGTGGCGCGTGCGTTTCCGCATGCTGTGAGTACCGGCAGCCTGGATGCGTTGGTCCGAGAGTGGCAGTGCTACCAGTGTACCACGCACAAGAACCTTCCCACGGAAGTTGACCGCTACTGGCATGCAATTGGGAGGCTAACCGGTATCAACGGCGATGCAATGTTCCCAACGTTGTCGTCATTGGCTCGTGCTGTTCTTGCTCTGCCACATTCAAATGCCGACATTGAGCGCCAGTTCTCAGCAGTGACTGCGGATAAGACGAAGACAAGGAATCGAATGCAGGAAGACCTTTTGCAGTCGCTGATGACCATCACACAGAATAAGTCCTCCCAGGGGTTCAGCCCGACGGAGAAAATGCGTGAGCGCCTGCCTCACCATGTTGCTGTCGCTGCAGGCCGTGCCGTAGGAAACCAGCAGCCCGTGGACCCAGAGACCATTGCTATACCTGCAGCACACGCAGTGCCCGAGCCGGAATTGTCGAGCAGTGATTCTGCGTCTCAGGCCCATCCACCCAGCACTGTACCTGCTAATGTGTCGCTGCCAGTCAATGCCGCACCTGCTCAGGAGTCTGTGCCAGCCAATGCTACGCCATCTATGCATATGCCTGCTGTTACTATCTCCAGGCGGATTTGGCGTGTTGGGCAGCTCTGTGAGTACTATTTGCCGATGGAATGCTCACAGAGTTGTATAGATGGCAGAAGTGGTAGCAGTGCTTGTGCAGTGATTGCTACGTATGTTGTGTCAAGAGCATTACGTGGCCAGCTTGAGTTGCCTGCCCCAGGTGCACCACCCTCGCCTGCATGCACCAGCACCTTTATCGGCTGCATCCGTGATGGAAACCGCACATACGACGCAGCTGGATTGAGCAGTGCCTTCCTATCTGTGTATGATGCGAAGGACCTCATGCCAGTCTCCCACGGTGTGTGCGTGATGAAAGATGGTGATCTAGGTATCCGCAACAATGCAGCCTGTAGAAGTGTGATGGAGAAAGCTGGCAACATGGCCATGAAGTGTGACCGCATCGTTGCTGGAGTGCTCGTGCACAACCCGTTGTGTATCGCCATTGTCTTCACACCACATGGCTTTGCTATTGTGTTCGACAGCCACCGTCACCGTGAGAAGGGACCAATGGTTGCTGTCCTGCGGCACAAGGCATCGTGGTCTGCCATGGGTGAGTTCATCCCGGGGCTGTTCCCTGGTAGCAAGCTGACTGACGGTCACTTTTGTATTCTGCAGGCATGTTGACTCATTTTGCTCTTCATGTAGTTGCATCTGAGTGCCAATTATCATTCTATTGTTGTTATTCGTTTGTTTAGTTTGTTTTGATTTCTTGGTTTATCGGGTTGGTTTTACTCTTTCAATTTTCATTTTATTTTTGGTGCTCTATTAAGCGCTATGTGGCTTATAATTTCCTTATTCTTCATTTTGTATTTTAGCGCTTTCTGGAGTTATCATTTTCGTTTTCTTCATTTTGCACCACATTATTATTTCTTGCAGATGTTTTAGTGCTAAGAAGAGGTTGGTGCGACTTCGGCAAGTCGGTAGGAAAAGCGTGAGCTCCCATGTAGGGAGCAACACACCCCTGTTTTAGTGCTACATGTAATTATTATAATATTGTCTTTTGGTTCAGTTTGTATTCTGCCAATTGTGTGCGTACATCAGTAACCCAGTGGATTTTCTGGTATGCCTGGTATAAGTTGCTTTCCACTCTACTTGAATAGTGAAATATGATGGTATATCCCTGATAAAATATCTTTTGTTAATAGCTATGCACAGCGTGTTAATGCAAATGGGTGGTGAGGTGGCAGAGGACATTGATTGTTATGTAGTGGCATGTGTGTGTAGATAGTGGCGGTAGCGGGATCGGGGGTCCGGGGGCGAAGCCCCCGGACGATGCATTTTAGTTTTGAATCCTACTGATATTTGGCTAAAATGGTGTGGCAACACTGGATAGCACGACGGTCCTCCACTGGATTCGTAGCTACAGTCGGCGGTTCAAACCATTCGTCGCGAATCGCGTCAGCTACATCCAGCAGCGTACCGCACCGCGACAGTGGCGCTACGTCCCTACGGGACAGAACCCAGCTGACCTGGCATCACGAGGAGCTTGCGTCAACGACCTGGTCAACGCAGACCTATGGTGGCAAGGACCGGCGTTTTTGAGCAACGGCTCAACCTGGCCAGCCACGGAGCTAAAGGATACTTCGGGGTTGAGCGACGACCCGGAAGTTCGCAAGGCAGCTGTGCAGGCGTCTGAGAGCGCATTCGTGACGCAGCAGATCACCGTCGTGCAACCAAGCCGCTACTCCAACTGGACGAGACTTGTGAGAGTTCAGGCATGGATCAACCGGTTCGTCAATAACTGCAGACAAGGGGACCGCGTCAGCGGAGAGCTAAACATCCAAGAGTTGGAAGCGGCGGAACTTGCCATCATCTACGGAGCGCAGCAGGATGCATTTGGTGACGACATCAGCGCACTGAAGAAGGGGAAGACTCTGCCAGCAGCATCGCGGTTAGCAAAGATGTGTCCGCGACTGGATGAGGATGGCCTACTACGTTGTGACGGCCGCACCCGCCTAGCTGACTGGCTCCCGTACAGCACGCGCTTCCCGATCATTCTACCCCGGAAACATGAAGTTACGTCGCTAATCGTGAAGCACCACCACGAGCTGCGACAGCATGGTGGCACGAACGAGACGCTCGCGGCATTGACAGAACGGTTCTGGCTGGAGTCTGCCCGAGAGGAGATACGCCAGTGGGAAGCTGAATGCATGGTGTGCCGACGTCGCAAAGCCAGGACGGCAGAGCAAGTTATGGCGCCGTTGCCGAAGGTCCGGCTCGCTACACCGTTGAGAGCCTTCGCTAGAGCCTCGGTAGACTATGGCGGCCCATACTTAACGAAACAAGGGCGAGGACGCAGCCAAGCCAAACGTTACCTCTGCGTTTTCACCTGCCTGCTAACCCGAGCCGTACACCTCGAGATGAGCTACGGCCTCGACGCCAGCTCGTTTCTTAACGCGTTCTCAAGGATGGTCGCGCGCCGTGGAAAACCGCTGGAGATCATTTCAGATAATGGGACGAATTTCGTGGCAGCCGATCGTGAGCTGAGGGAACTGGTGGAGGCTCTGGATAACGACGCAGTTTTCAAGTCCCTGGCCAACCGTGGGGTGGCTTGGAAATTCAACCCGCCGCTAGCCCCGCATTTCGGCGGAGTCCACGAAGTAATGGTTAAGGCGGCGAAACGCGCCCTCAAGGCAGTTCTCGGCAATGCTGACCTGACGGATGAGATGCTGGCAACTGCGCTCACGAACGCCGAAAGCCTTATGAACAGCAGACCGCTCACGTACCAGTCGGCCAGCCCTGACGACAGCTCGCCGCTAACGCCGAACCACTTTCTGACGGGTCAGATGGGCGGTCAGTTCGCCCCAGAAAGCGTAGACACCACAGGTTTCCACCCCAACCAGCGATGGCGGCAAGTTCAAGACGTGGTGAAGCAGTTCTGGCGGCGCTGGCTCAAGGAGTGGGTGCCGACTCTCAACGCGAGACGGAAGTGGCTAAAAGAACGGAGAGACGTGGCGGCAGGAGACATCGTCTTGGTATTGCAACCGGATGCACCACGTGGGCACTGGCCACTCGGACGCGTCATGGAGACCAAGCCGGGCCCAGATGGTCACGTGCGTGTTGTGGAGGTGCAAGTCGGCGGGAAGCGAATCACCCGTCCCATCACCAAGATCTGCCCGCTAGATGCATAGAGAAGATGGCAGCTAGATCTGTACGTATTCAGTTATGGTGCTAACACAAGTAAGACAGAAGCAGTAGTTCAATAGATGCAGCATACATTGCAGGCATATCACATAAGCACCACAGTGTTATCATTTTTATGTTTACCACATCTTTTTGCCACGCAGTGATTAGACCGATAGAGGTACAACACATGCAATTGTAAGCTAGGTAGTAGTGGAATACGCTGCGAGCTGCGAGGTAACTCATCGCGTATTCGAGGGGGAGGATGTTCACGAGGCTCTCCTTGACTATACATTAGATAGTGTGTCTGGACACGGACTATTGGATGCATTGTTCTGTGCATGTATGGTACTTTAGGTAACTGCAGGCTAGACGAGCCATACCGATTCTATGTGCATGCCCTACAGCATTATGGCGCTTTGCTGGTTTGTATTCATCCATTTTCACGGTACTTAGACATTTGAGGTAGACGTGTAGGCGCCTTTCCATAGATCATGTCAATAGACTAGTAGTGGGCACGCCAGACACATTGTGGCATCGCCGTGTTTCAGTATTGTCAGTTTGCACCTATGTGGTCGCAGTTCTATCGCGACAAGCTGTGCATTTGCCTCTAGGCAATTCACCTTTCCTTAGCTACGCTGCAGTTGTGCTGCGATATTCATCTATAGCATAATATTGGTCTGTGTGATCGAATCCATGTGTTCAATGCATTCTAGGTTGCTAACATAACAAACCAGACCAGACACGGTATGGACTCATGATTGTACAGTATGTAGGTGTGAACAAGTTAGTTTCTGGCAATGTTGTGGTGTTTGGTTTCCGCCCAACATTGTCGATCTGCATGTTTGCACTAGCGTGCAGCTGAACCAAAGCAGCCGAACCAACGTGCCTTGCAATGCTTTGCTAGGCTTTTCTTTCACTGTATCTTTTGGTCACATATAATACCGTACACTTTGCTTTTACTCACATATAGCACGTTTGCGTTTTGGTTATATCGAAGAACCCAGTGTGTAGTTACGATCCATCACAGTTTCAATGTTTATGGACTAGCGTGGTGTAGTCCTGCGGAACACCTAGCTTCAACACTTCTCCAAGGCACAAACCAACAACCTTCCAAATAAATTAAATACTTGGAAGGCTCAGTTTCGGAAAGGTCCAAGAGGGGAAGGAAAGCGCAACGAAGAAGAGCACGAGCTACGCATCACGGCAACAACGGTCTGTTGCTTTGCGTCGTCGAGTTGTAGTGAGGCCGGTATGTCCAATAGTCTTACTAGTTTCGTCATCATCCAGTAACTTTCGGCATTCTTTCTTGCCGTGATGCGTAGCTCGTGCTCTTCTTCGTTGCGCTTTCATTCCCCTCTTGGACCTTTCCGAACCTGAGCCTTCCAAGTACTAGTAGTTGGAAGGTTGTTGGTTTACGCCTTGGGGAAGTGTTGGACCTAGGTGTCAGGTCGCCGAATGTCTCAGTACTCCTTGTCAGTTTTGTGCCATTTTGTCGCACTCGCTGACTGTATAAGATCTGGTTACGTTGGTGGACAGTTAGTCATAACTCGTAACATTTTGTCCTTCTCCTTTTTCACCATAATTTAATTGGCTCACCATCCGAGTTGAAAATACATAGGGTGCATGTGAACAGAATACATCGTCCCAAAACAGACGTGTGTCGAGAGTAGAGTTTTTCTTGTGGGACACTGGCGACTCTCACCCAAGGCCAAACCACAAACTCCGAACGTTTCTCCATAGATCTACCCCACAGGGCCACACTCTTTTGGTGATCCTCGTTGCCCTGGCCACGATGCATGTCAAGGCTGAGAAGGACTGAGCATGAGCAGCTCAGAACCAGGGAGTCGTAAACACGGCTTTTACTCCCTGCTCAGAACGCTCTAACCCGGTGAAAAGGACTGTTGTCACGGATAGTACCACGGCAGACGAATACATCCGAATTCCCTCCACTCCGCTCCAGTCCATTCCCTGCATGCAACTCCAGGCTTGTTCGGTTAGCCCGAAGGTAAATCCGGAAAATGGCGAAGTGCCCAAGATCAAGTGCTACTTGAGCTTACTGGCCTCAGATCGAACGCTTCCTCTAGCTTAGCTAGCAGAGAAGAAAACAATTATTTTTAGATGACAGGGACCTTTAGGATGAACGAGATGACAGCATGGCCCTTGGGATGAGAAACACTCAGACACCATCATGCTGATGGACATAGTTGCGAATGTCCTCTTTGAAGCTGATGGCCAGGGGATCCTGGCTTCACAATCACATCTGCAGCCTTCAGTCTCACTTGCATCCGCCCTGGCACATCATACATGTAGATCTACCAGCAAGAGTCCATAACCCCTGGGGTTATGCCTTATCATGCCTGGACTCTTGATATCAGTCATAGCAGGAAAGATTAGTTCGAACACTGTACTAGTCAGTGGTATATCTACGAGTGTAGGTAGCTAGGTGGAAAGGTCTATCGCCTCAGTATCGGACACATCCAGTCCGTGGTGCTTGCCATCTCAATCATCATGCCGACATGCGTGTTGAAGAGCCAGCTCTTCAAGCAAACAAGGCATGTTACTATTGTTAGGTAACTGCACTGAGTTGATGTGGAAATAGAAAGCTTTAGGCATTTTGCATTCATAGCTGACATAAGGGCCGGCAGCAGACTAGTCACGGCGGATCTTCGGCCGTTCGGGCACCTTGCCAGCCAACCACTGGGTGTCCCCTTCCTGTGCATGTTTGCAGCCATACTGAAAGAGAAAAACAGCGAAGCATCTCGACATTGGTCAGTGCAGCGGATGTCCCAACGGAAGCAGCTGGCAAATTGCCCAAGGAGGGAACTGCCATCACGGTTTTTGGCAGTGAAGTAACGTTAGTTGCGGAGAGCCAGCAACAGCATCACCAAGGTGAGCTCTCTGGGGGCTCCACTAACAGAATCTACTCAGGCGTAGCCATCCTAATGGAAGGGTTCGAAGGGGTTGGCTAGCGAGCTGTGGCGGCGATTCACCCCCTGCAAGCACTCGTGCGGAATGTCCTTTTTTTCGCACCGGTCTGCCGGGCATAGTAGTAGTAGAAATTACTAGTAGTAGATAGTGTGTCCAGTTTCCGACTGTGCAGATCCAGTGAACTCGGATTTGGAACTCCATTCTCGACTCTGATTGTCCTCGTACTCGTAGTGACAGACACAGTCAGTGATATCCTGAGCTGTGGAACTTTTCACGGTGACATAGGATTGATCTGCCTCAAATCGTTTGAGGAAGTGACAATTATGACGTCTTTGTAATCGTTGTCCCGGCTAGGTGGACGCTGCCTTGCTTATGAAGTAATGCTATGGGTAACGCCTTTGACATGACCTGGGAATACGTCAAAACATCAAAAACATCGCCGCAATGTTCCTGAAGCACCCTAGTTAGTTGTCTATTTGCCACGCATTGTGTGTGTGAGAGCTATTCTCAGGAAAGTGCCATTGATTACTCTTGTTCGAGCACTAGCCTTCTAATCGGGTTGGGTTCTGTATACATAATGATAGTGAAGGGTATCAATTTCTCTGAGCTGCATGCATGGTGGCGCAGTGATGGCTGAGGTGACTGGAAGCCATTGAGTTCCGCTCAAGCCTTTCCACTTAATTACATGACATCCAATACTTGATATTCTGCAGGACAGACCTGGGTCAGTGGATGTTGTTGTTGTACAGTCATGTATTTGAACCTCAGTAGGTAAGCTAGAAACCCAGGATACTGTATATTCTCTATTATAAGCACAGGCCTCCATTACTAGCACAGTCTCTAATACTAGCACACTGTGAGCACCTTTCGAAACATTATAAGCACGGTCTCTATTATTAGCACGGTCTTGGTGGAAATCAATGTGGCATGCATGATATCTAGCATGTATTTCTTCTTGCCCTGTATGGATGTATTGGTTGAAAAAATATAAGCACAGTCTCCAATATAAGCGCGGTCTCCAATATAAGCACGGGGTAGAGGGGTGTTGAAAAAATATAAGCACGGCGCTTATAATAGAGAATATACGGTAGTTGAGAGATCATGCAGCGGCAGGCAGTTTTCTAGGCTCCCAGCTGCTGCTATGAAGCAGGTTCATAATTTTCATGTTACACCTCACAGTGACAGGCTAGCTATACAGTCATGTAGTTTTACCATAGATAACCATACTCTTCTTCAAAGTTGCATCATACGACTTGGATTGTACTTGTATTAGAACATTCTGTGAACAAGGAATAATAATAGGGCAGAGTGGTGGAATGTGGGGAATGTTGACATGAACATAAGATTTTAGAAACTTTCTTTCTTTGGATCAAACAGATGATGAAATCCTTTCAACCCTGCTGTTACAAGCCGGGGGGGGGGGGGTGACCTTGAAACAAGAGTACATGTACCAGGGGCGTAGCACCCGCTACGACTGGTACGACCATGGCGTACCACTTTTCGAAAAGTGTCCGTCCGGAACGTGCAAAACCGTAATGAAAAAAATCAGGATCCATCGATGCATAATATATGCGCATCAGACTTTGACCTTTTTTCTAGACTCGTACTCGTAGATCTGTTATGCATCTGCAGTCGTACTGAGTACTGTACTCGACTCGACTGCACTCTGCGCCAGAAGTGTGCCAGAAGTTCCCAGAACGCAGGATTTTGTGTCCTTTTTACAAAATTTTCCCGGGGGAGGTCCCCGCACCCCCCTCCAACACGGCCTTCGGCCGCACCGACCTTCGGTCGTACCACTTCCAAACCCCTCCTACGCCCCTGTGTACAGAACATTCTTTTTCTGCTGTTTTATACAGTCTTGATGAGACAACATGCTTTTTCTACTGCCCATCATGGGTGGCTTTCAAAAATGCCGAACATGAGGTGCAGAAGAAGCATGCAGACACCAACCGTGACAGCATTGCCATTGGTGAGGTTTGGAGAGCTCTACCAATCCAGGGTTTCGGCTTCATAGCCAACCATACGTGCCATGGAAAGACCTGAGTGTTATGTACTCTGGATGGCATGCAACTTTATGATTTGTCGGGAAAACATCCTTGTTCCTGCTTTGGCGTTATCATATTGAACTTGATTCAATATCTATGTCATACTTTTTTCTGCCGTATCCTTGAACAGGAAGGAGTTCTCAGAACGATGGCCTTTCTCAGAACACTTGCAATATTGCTGCTCCTCATCGTTCTTCTACAAGTAACATGTGGGCAAAAAAACAACAAAAAAAGGAGAAAACCCAAGACCAGTCTCAATGATGATGACACCGATGATCTAGGCACCACTGGCAAAGTAAAGAGGAGGCGGAGAAATCGCCAGGTTATCGTTTACGATGGTGAAGAGGCGGACGCGGTAAGTTTAGTGGAGACCATGGGAGTACTTTCATTCCCCTGTAGCTTGTCGGACTACCCGGCGAAGAACACCTAGAGAATTTCATTGAATGCCAGAGTAATCCCAATAAATGGAGTGAAGACAATGTTGAAAGATCTTGGCTTAGATGTCGACTACACCTTACGGACACACACGCACAAGCACACACGCACACACACGCATGCACGCACACACACACGCATGCACGCACGCACACACACGCATGCACACACACAAACACACACACACACACACATCAGCAGACCACGATCGCAGTACTGTCGGGCGCCCAAGGACAGAGCAGCAAAGAATGAACGGTCTAGAATGTCACCAAACACAGGTTACCAATGTCACAGTATACACGATTACTCCACTGCCCATAGACTGAAGTACATGAACATTATAACTGTCTAGGCTACGAGGCTGAACCCCAGTTCTTCGATGACCGACGGTACTGTAGAGATGATCAGGACATGCGTGAGCGCACAGTGTGACAATGGTACCATCACTCTTTTCTCAAAATTCGGTTTTCACTGGCTTAATTTTGGTTCGGCTAAAACAGCGAAATATGCCAAACGCTAGGCTTAACAAGGTTAAAAGGTCCTGTCTGAGGTATTTTCATGCATGATGCAGATGTCTTGTGGCTTGTTTCTCAAACTTGAAAAAGGTGAATGCACCTCTTTTACCTCCATGTGGGAGCGCAGGTAGAGAGATTATGTAACTGCCACTTCTGTCCTTGCTATTAGAAAATGACATTGACACGGCCCTGTTGTCCTCTCTTGCCCATAATCTGTGTTGTAGACATGTGAGGATTGCCTCTGCTTAGTTCACTACACACTGGTGTGTCCAAAGTGCGCGCCTCAGCTGGATCTGCTGGTGCCATGTGGTACCACTGTCATGGACCTAATGATGAAGGTAAGCGTGTGTAGGTGGTCGACTAGTGATTGGCTCATGAATCACATGATCCATGTGTGTTTCACTGTGTTGAGCATGGACTGGTCTTGAGATCATACTCCAACATGAAAGCATGCAGGTTCTGGCCATGTACTTAGTGATAGTACTAGTACTCGTCACTACTGTATAGATAGGCAAGCTTACTCTGGGTATACCTGGTATACTGGTCGGAACCCAAAATGATACAGGCGAATACTACCTGTACCAGTTTTGAACAAATTTGAATATTTAGATCCTAGTGTTCATAGCAAGTAATGCTAACTCTGCCGTGAATATACGCAATTTTGCCAAAGTACACCCCCTTGCTCTGGTCCTGGTTCTGTTTTCATGAACAGCGCAGAGTACATCGGTAACAGGGGCGGATCCAGAGATCTCTACAGGGGTTCCAGTTTAGCCGAAACTGAATACTGTAGCTGATACATGTACATATACACGCATCTGGTTTCCAGTAGTACGTTCTCGAAATTGGGGTTCCGCAGAAGAACCCCCCCCCCCCCTTGGATCCGCCCCTGGGTAAAACAAGGATGGGACACAGACACTCGTTGACGAAGTGTACTAAACACCTGTTGTGTTGCAGCAGCAGACTTGCTATCCACCCTTCTTTGTCGCTTATTGCAGAACTTGAGGTGTTTGTTGTGTATATCTGTTCTTGTCTCTGCAGGCGGCAAATGTGTATGACAGCAAAAATCCGAACATTGATCCATCCAACAACCCGTACTCATTCACGACCGAGTACAGGGGCAAAGGGGGTCAATCCGTGGTGGGTCTGAATGGCATCATACCAGAGGACCATGAGTGGCAGCTCTTCATCAATAGTCGGTACGTCGGCACGGACATCAAAACAACAGCTGTCCGGCGTGGTGGAGAGTCGGTGACATTTCGCCTTATACCGGTCGAAGTCAAGCGGAGCCTGGAAAGAAATGCACAACGTGACCCAATGGCTATGCTGAAAGATACACAAGTGGAAGAATATGACGAAGCACCAGAACAAGAGTTGGATGTGGAGTCTGCAAATCAACTAGACACTACATCTAGGGAAAATACAGAGGCTGTCTTCGATAACGCAATGGATATAGCCACTGAAAATGAGATAGATGCTGATCTGGATGTGCGATCACCGGACTTATCCTCCGATGAAGACCTCAGCTTGGCAGAACTCAATTCTCTGCAGGAGAAGTTTGAGTCTCTCTGGCCATTTGGCACGGGCAATCTGCGCAGTCCACCATCAGCTTCTCGACAGCAAGTCTGGCATTTGTTTGACCGCATTCTTCAGCAGCTGAAGAAGTGTGCCCAGTATGCCAGTGACCTCCCCAGCGAAGAAACACCACCGCCACCACCACCATCTTAACCTGGACCAGATGCTCCCACACAGAAAATGGACTAGTTTTGCTGGCATGTATTCACTATCCATGTGGACCGATTCAGACCATTAGCTTGCATTTGGCGGCGATTTTGCCCCCTTTGGGCACTTTTATTTTATCACAATCATGATAACGCTATTCACCATAACAACTTCTTGATGACCAGCCACAGCTAGATGATACTAAGAACCTTTGGCTTGATACCCCACTGCCTCAACATTCATGATGCCAAGCTTGCTCTCAGCACTGCTGCTACTCCTGCCTCCACTACTTGACTGCTTTCAAAGTGCAAATACAGTAGCATTTAACAGTAGAAATTACTTCAAGTACTGTCCGGACCTTGTCCGAGTGCTGTGCATACACACATTTCTGCTCCAATATGCAATGCTGCTCAGCGAAGTTCGACTTCAGCAGCCAAACTAGACGCAGCGCTGTGAAAAGTGGCATCATCACGCATGAGCACAGATGTGGAACGCTTGCTTAGTCATGTGATCAGATGTTCTGGAGCAGGATTGTACCTACGTGTACATGCCACACCTTTCTCTGAAAAAAATTCGAGGAGGGTGTCTCGCTGTCACACGCACAACACCTTGAACAACATGCACCTGGGTTGTGTTTGCATGTTGCAGCGTGCAGTACTAGCACTCTGATCATACTTGCACACCAGTAAGCCACACATCACAATACACAGCAAAGTGGTCCAGTCAACGGTCATGCAGGTTCAATGTATCACTCCAGAGTCCTGCACTGTTCTCCATGGAAACTGATGACAGTAGCAGAAGCATGAAATTCAAGCAGCAGAATTTGTTAATACAACACACGTGTGACAGAATTGAAAGGTTAGCACAGTGGAGTACCGGCAGGTACCGACTCAGCCGAAGCTAAAATGGCTTCATCACACCACAATGTTCAAACAGTGGCTAAGGAGAGCTGCAGGACCTAGTAATTTAGGTAAGCACATCAAAACAAATCAAAACGGAGGTAAAGTCAGAGAAGAGAGCATTGCTAATGGAAAGAGAGGTCCCAGAACACATGCCTGTCAGCATACTAGTAGCTAACTGGCCAGGAATACAAATAAAACAGGGGTAAGACGACAGAGACGACTAAAGAGCCTATTGAGCCATGGCCGCCTTGAGTAGATTCTCATAGTTTGGTGTGCCTAGACCGGTGACGGCATCCCAACCTACAGCAGCACACCAGCCCTTGTTTAAACAACCACCACTGCACTGCTCGGTGATGTCAAGAAGGGCGCTGGCGTGGCTGTACAGGAAAGGGTTTAGAAACCCAAGCTGCTTTTTACCACTGGCAAGAAGTGCATCGTTGATCAGGGCAATGATTCCGGCGAATGTTGGCGTGGCGCACGAAGTGCCGTCAACTGGCTGTGGAATGAGCTCATCGACGATCATGAAGTCCATGGCCATGGCTGCCACATCGGGGAATGCACGGCCAGTGCGGTTGTAAGAGGCCGCCGGCAAGAACTTACTTGTAGACAGGTAATGCGAGACAGCAGCAGTCTGATACTGCGGCTGGCTATAGACATTGGAGAACCCTCCGCTGCTCAGAAGTGTGGCCCTCTCAGTGCCGATATCAAGCAGACCTTCAGTCCCACCAACAGTGGTGACGTATGGACTAGACGCTGGGAAAAATGGCAGGAGCACATGGTTGCGACAGTTTGCACCAGCATCTCCGCTGGCAAAAAGCAAGGACATACCACGCACTCCCTGCTTCATGAACTCTTGATTAGTACGATCCATGTAGTCAACCGACAGTGAGTTCTCCTGGTCACCATAGCTGACACTCATAACTTGCGGTATGACAGTGGCATTGGCAATGTCTAGCATCCACTGCAAGAACGGTTCCTGCTTCTCATGCGCACCACCTGTGCTCCAGAACCAGGTGGTTGCATTGGCACCCAAACTCATAATGTACTGCACGTCCAGATTGGCTTCGCCACCGGATGGGAACTTATTCGGTCCAATGACCTTGTCGACGTCAGCGCGATGAACAAAGCTAGAGCCGAACAGCTTGAAGAATTCTGACAGATCTGTCTTTCCATAGTACTGTCCCGTGAATTGTGCAACAGCCTGGATGTTGATGCTGGATTTGCCGGCAATGGCGCTACCCACATTGTAGCGTTCACGCAAGCTGGAAGGAGTCTGCAGCTCTACGAGACCGTTGCTTTTCTTCACTCTCTGAGTCCTCTTAGCGACAGGCGGAAACCGATGGACATTGCCAACAAAATCAATGTGACCAATCACAGACACTGGCAATGTGTAGTGGTGAGTAGCACGTACAGTTGTTTGCTTAGTTTCGCCATGACGAAACACACTGAAAGTCACGTCCAGCAGCGAATTGGCCATGTAGCATGGCATCACGCAGCTAAGGAACTCCTTCGCTTTCGTCCAATTGCACTTGTTCTCAACGTCCAAACCAGCTTCTGACAGCCATGTAGTGATGGTGTCAATCGACGTCTGCTCGGGGGAAATTAAATCATTTATTTCATTGTGGGAGAGAAACTGGCGATAATGCTTTGTGCCGGGTGTAGATACTTTCCAGAAGAGATCCTCCAGTTGCTGAAGATTACGCTGCTTCACTGCGAAAACCAAAGAGATCCCTTCGGTTTCTTGGACTTTTTTCTCTGCTGTCCAACCTTCTGGAACTGCAATACTTTGACCCGCCTCCACTCTCATTCGCAGGCCAGTGAAAGCCTGGCTCCCTTGAAAGAGAGCCGCGCTCACCAACAAGACCCAGCTGAACATAGTAAGGCAGGAGAGAGAAAGGCGAGTGGGTGGAGGAAGAGAGACAAGATGTAATTACTATTATAATTATAAATCGAGTTGTTCCACCTACACTACAGTGGCAATGTGCACAACACGAGGCCAAGGTACAAATCAAGCGTACAACTTTTTCAAAAACAAACAGAGCATGCAGCTGCACATGGTCATTCTCATTCTGAGCTGACGTACAAAAATCTCTTTCACCGTATACGTATACGGTACTTTACGGTATATTTGTAAAAAATGTACCGTATAAACCGGGTTCGTACCTCCCGATCCCGGTCCGATGATATGAATAATTGTATTTTTATTTTTTTTACTATTGAACACTCACTGCATGCATGATGAACTAAAATGAGGAGAAGACTGTGATTCGACACAATGGGCATTAATGGTACATATCCAGCAGGACGGAGTGGGTGGGACCTGTGAAGCTCAGCCGACCAAGGGTCTCGGCATCACAGCTGCACATGTGCACCAAAGGAAACAAAATGGGGAGTGGAAGTGGAAGGGCGGGGACTCCCGGGGGAGCAGGAGAGCAAGAACTCTAAGCCTTACTAGTGTAGGGGTAGGAAACCAGGAAACTTACTTGTTATTCCAAGATATGAGTGCAAACAAGTACAAATATAGCAGTATCAAGATCATGATGCTGAGGCGAAAGTAGAGGCTGATTGCCGGGCAGATTTGACGAAAGATTAGAGTGAGAATGGAGGAGAGTTAGAGAGAGATAAAGACAGATGGATTGGGAGCCGGTTTGATGAGAAGTATCAACATGATCAAGAGTATCATGATTGTATAATAACCTCCCAGCAGGGGCAAATTCTTGACATGACCCATATCGGCATGTGGGTCATGATTAATCGATTATAATAAGTAACTCGCGGATATTGTGGCCATTATTATATCCGCGAGTTACTTAGAACACTCTGATCACCTATTCAATATCGCACAAGTGGAGAACCCCTCGATAGGCTACCTGCCTCTGGGTCATCCCTCAAATAAAGATAATAATAATAACGCACCCATAAAAGGGCCACACTGCTTTATGATTGTACTAGTAGTACTATACTACACGTCAAGTCCAAACAAAAAATTATGTCATAGTACTGTACAAGTAGTATTAACATTTTACAAGCCTTCTTTGATCTTGCTTCGAACTTCAACATGACAATGAAAGAAATTCTATCCAAGCCTTCAGCACTGATTCAGATTCAGCGAAGGTGTGGGACATGGTGAGCTTTTTTCCTCTAAATTCTATACAATGATAGGTCCGTCGGAAGGTACGTTAGGGTATCACGGTCAGCCATCTGAAGTACAATTTACTAGTGGGGGTGACTCTCGGCCGAAAATTTGAAACTTGATTTGGAGCCCTATTGCGAGACTACGTTATTAATTCATGCCGGGGGGGGGGGGGCCTTAGCCGGCCTAAGTGGAGCAAAAAGAGTGGTATGGTCAATACACGGTTAGTGACCATAGCCTGTCCGATGCGACCCCTGGCCCTGATTGATTCATATTATGGCGTCAGATGACAACGGCAAACAGTGTATAACAAGTTACATGGCTACTTGAAGTTGAATGGTCATGCAAACGGATACACACTTCTGTGGGCTGGTCCTTTTAATAAGAACTCGGGTGTCCACCGTCAATTCCGTTACCGGTAGCGAAATAATGAAATTGACAGTGGACATGCGAGACTGACCGCAAAATAGCTATGTCACGGGCTAATCCAGTCATATTTGATGATAGCCATTGCCAGAGCTAGAGAGCCAGGCTAATCAGATCCTGATTGAAAGCAGCAATATTCTCATCGGGTTGGTGTGCAATGCTCAGCAAAACACGCCAGCATATTCAATACAGGGAGTAAGAAGCTACATGTTTGCCTCAAGCCACTTGAGCCGGATCATGAATGTACAACACTGCGCCGAAAAGTCTGACTGGGTCAGAATGAGATCAAATATACGCACACAGAATCCACTCGCAGTTCACTTATCAAGCCACCGGGGGCGGGGGAGTCAGAGCACAATCGTTTTACAAGTAAGCCACTGGAGAAGTGCTTCCAGAGCGTAGGCGTTCAATGACGTATATGCAGTCTCGCGACAGCCGGGGACGATGGTGTACCAAAGGTATTGTTGTGGGGTTCGAGCACAGCCACCTGTGTCTGCTTGCATGGTTGTGACTCACACACTCAATCCCAGCTCATTCTGAGAGGGATCATAGACAGTCAGTAGGAATGGTGAGCCTGGAATAACCTCGTCCGCCCAGGTGATGTTGATCTGGTACTGCCCACACTCGACAGGATTGTACTGGACCAGGATCTGCTTGTCATTGGACGGCAGTCTAGTGGTGTCAACCTTGAATCCACCCCGTGGGCCCTGTACACGTATGCCTAGCATACCGCTACCTGCATCAGTCACATCCACTATGAAGTCTCCACCCTGGCCAATCTCACAGTTGGACAACCCCTGACCGAATGCCATCACCATGGACGGCTTCGGCGGCTGCAGGACACGTAGCTTGAACGGCGAACCGGCAATGTGCACCCCATCATACTTGATGCTAGTCGTGTATCGATCCACAGTGGGTAGGTTGAGTCGACACAGCGTCTTGCCATTCACAGTCTGACTCAGATGACCCTTGTAGCGCTTTTGGCTGTCGCTGGATACAGCCTCCACACTCAAGTTCCCTGGACCAGCCTCCTTGCTCTCAACATAGAACTGAACAGGCTTGCCCAATATGCTGTCCTTGACCCGTCCACCGAGGATTTTGCAGCGCTCCGGTGCAAACGGCTGCGTTACTCTCACTTGGAATGGCGAACCAGGTACGTCTACGTTGCCATAGCGAACATGCAGGATGTGATTGGATGGCGAGTGCACGGTATAGGCACAGCAGTGGGTAGCCGGTCCGGTCTGTATGACCTCAACCGGCACGGAACGGCCCTTTTCGTCTGCCATAGATGCTGATAGCGGCGCTAGACCAGTGCCTCGTGTTATCACCTGGAACTCTGCCCGGTTACCAAGCTCGGCATGTGCCAGGCCAGTGCCCTCCAGGAGACATTTGCTGACGTCAACGTCGTTGGCAAAGTACATGCGCAGCGGACAGCCGGGAATGGCTGCATCCGCCCAGCCAAGGTCTAGCGTGTAGTCACCAGGCTGGCTGGGTGCCAAGTTGAGCTCATAGCACCCGTCACCGAGGTCATCTACACAGAACTCGGAGTCATCAACGATAGCGCCGGTAACATTGACCTGTAGTTGTCCTGGGCCAGCACGCTCACAATTGACAATCACCGAGTAACTGTCACCGATCTAACACAAGCAGAGCACATAAAAATAGAACACTACAATCACGTACAGCATAAAAAAGCATATAAAGTTATGCACATCCTAAGTGCTAGTTGTGTTTCTCAACACAATAGTATAGCCGGTGGTAACGCGGACGTGAGAACTTTACTACTTTTTAAATTTATACATACATATCTACATACTTCGAAGTACTGGTGACTTAACTACTGGCACTGCTACAGTCAGATCTCCATTAATACCTGGGGTGGTGAGCAAACTAAACCACCAAAAATTCCCTGTACAGTATCTCTGAGCAATGTCCACCTGTTTGTGAGGTAACCGGATACAGAACGGGAAATCTGACTGTATCATGCTTGAGCTAATTACAACATCTACAAATGTATCAGGTAAAGTAGATTACAGATAAGTAGACCATTAGGAGCCCTAAACCCAAAAGAGAGAGAGAGAGAGAGAGAGAGAGAGAGAGAGAGAGAGAGAGAGTGAGTGAGAAAGAGAGAGGGGGGGGGGGGAAGAGAGTCAGAGAGAAGAAAGAGAGACAGAGCGGAGGATACTTGTAAATTGAGATGGTGTGTGGTCAACCAAGGATACTTGACGACTTGTGCTACACAAATATAAGCAACCATTCTCTGAGACCGCATTACCTCAATGTAACATTCACCACCTAGCGGCATACTTACTTTGAAGAATTGCCGATGGACATCATTGCCAATCAGGCGGCACTGCGTTGCATCCGGTTGATGACCAGCCACGCCAATTCGAAATGGAGAGCCGGTCACATGCCGATCAGCCCAGCGTATACTGATATTGTAGTAGCCCGGCACAGCGGGTTTGAATTGTACGGTGTGTAAACTACCATCCTTCTCCACACTGATGTCCAGTGGTCCTACTGGGGCGCGGGAGGGCGATGCCGGTGACCGGAGGCTATGCGGCGATTCAGAGCCATTTAGTGCACGGCCTGACTCATCATCAAAGCGCTGTGATAGCAGATTCACATCTACGGTTAGCCGACCAACGCCAGCTTCAGCCGTTGCGACATGAAAGCTGACTGGTTGCATGGTGAGCCAACCATCCGGGAACAGGCCGAGCACTTGACACCGCGATGCCTCCGGAGCACGGCCAAAGCAAAGCCGATGGGGATTACTCGGGAGTGCTTCACTGCCAAAGAACAGACCGAGCAAAAATGTGTCCGGCTCTGACGGCTGAAGGCGCACCCTGTACACTTGCTCGCTCACGTGCGATATCATGGCTTTGCATTGTGAATCGGACGTGACGGCGGACACGCGTGTAGTTAGTGGTGGTAAAGACGGAACAGTGCACGCACTGGCGTCCACCAGGAACTCAGCTGCCTGGCCAACAATGTAGCTGCCATCTACAGCCTCGGGTATCGTCAACTCCTGAACACGCACAGCCGTGACGTCCATATCAGCATCCACCGTAATAGAGAAAGGACTTCCTGTAACAAACAAGAGTACAGAGTACAGTGTACAGTGTAGGTACAGGTGGAGATCGGCTATAGCGTTGGTCTTTGAATGAGCGACATTTGACCACTACAAACGATTATCACTACATGCGATTGTCCTGGTTTGGGTGAGAGTAATAACTTTACGACGTAAGTCATGACGTCATGTACACGAGACGCGCGCTCGTGAGACCGTGAGCATGATGTACAGCACAGTACACGCACACTGAAAAACACTTATTATTTTGCACTGTACTTGGTGCGTAAAGAAACACGTACATACTTGTAAGTATGTGGGAAACTTACACAGACTGGACTGTGACTGTGCACTGCACCGAAGTGGATTCTGAGTACCAAAGACTTGGCAAGAGACCATTGTATGTATTGCAGTACTATAAACGATCCCAATTGTGTGCAGTCAGGTGGTTTTGATATGAGAGTTTGATCACAATAGCCGATAATTATATTACTACACCCGGTTATTATTATACCAGATTGAATTTGACTGTAACAGATTCTTTTCAGGCTTTTGAATCGTGCTGTGACTATCTGTATAACCAGTATACTACTATAACCGCCAACGCTATAACCGATCTCTACCTGTATAATGGCGGTTGTGATCATGTGTGAATGCATTTCAATTTCTCCTCACTATTCCGGAATTCCATCCATCTATTCCATCTCCACCACACGCGCTCTCTGGCCGACCTCACAAACCAGCAACATGACTCCAAGTTGTAGATACTGACAAATATTTGTTTTCCTCCATACCGCGCTGTTTCGACCACTATAGGTCTCACCAGTGAAGGTTGAGAATAAAAATGGCTAGAATAAATTTGAAAGCACAATTTTATACAGGAATAGTGAAACCAACAATTATTAATGATTTACCAGCTGATCATGGACAGGAAATGTGTTCTGACTTTTCAAGATGAGCGTTGCATGCAAAACAAATCATTGATAAACAGGGCAAATCCGCTGAAATACTGGTACATGTATTGGCTAATCCGAATCTGCTGTGGCCCTGTAAATATATATGAGCACACTCACGACCCTCGTAACATGTCTGGTGTGTGGAGTGGCGGGGGGGGGCATGTGTGTGTGTGTGTGTGTGTGTGTGTGTGTGTGTATGTGTGTGTAGGTGTGTGTATATGTATGTGTGTACATGCTGTGTCACTACGAGTGCAATGTGTGAACAAGCATTTCCTGGTGACACCATCACATTAGACCTGCCTCAGGTTACTATCTATGTCCAGTATGGCTAGGAAATGTGAACGACCCTGCCTGAAAATAGTTCTTTGAACGACCCAGCCAGTTGTAATCTTCTTTAGTATGCTCCAAAAAATGTGTGAGCATTCCAGAAAGGGTGTCTGCTCAAGCATGCTGGAATAGGCCTATTGAAACGATCCGATCAGTCATAATAATAATTATAACGTTTGTGCTCTTCCCTAGTGTTCTAGCATTCCTGTCTCTGAGGAAGCTTGTTTGGATCAATACAGCCGCTGGCTTTCTAATCATCAACTTCCCTGCTCAATGTGCTCATACACTGATGCAGTGCTGTTCAGACCCGATTTCCGAAAAAGGTTGCCGAGTGCAGACTAAAAGCTTTCCTTCCTTTCTGACCAGCATTGAGTCTTTGCTGCACACTCATTGTGAGTTGCCAGGTACTAATATCCCATGCAAGGTACTAATATCCCACTTCCTACAGTAAATATTGTGGGAGTGCATTGGAATCCTAAGGGTTATGTGCCAATTTGCCAAGGTGCAAGAAGAACGTATTGTTTGAAAGAGTTTCTTACACTACCATATCCAGTGTCAGTGGCCAATGTGACTATGATTCTTAAACCGAACCTCGGTGTATAAGCGATATGTTCATGCTGTAGAGGCAAGTGCATGGGAAACACTGCTCGGAGACATACCTGGTATTGGCTCGTCGGCATAGGTGATATCAAAGCTGTGCTCGCCGACTGCACTGGGTATGTACGTTGCTTTGTACGTGCCATCGCCATTGTCATGTAAGTTAAACTTCGGTATGCCCTGGGTGGGTCCGGATGCCCGCACTATCAGCTGTCCCTTGCCCGCCGAGCGCGTGTCCACACTGAACTGCACCGGCTGCGTTACTGTCCAGTGCGTGCCATCTCCAATTCCACGTACGACGATCTTCTTCGGTTCCGACGCGGACACGAACCTGAGGCGGAACGGAGATCCGCTAATGTGCTTTCCCGCCCATGTGACTGAGAGGATGTACGTGTCCTCAGCAGATGGTGCGAAGCGCACAATCCATCCTTCCTGTTCGCCTTTGAGCAGCTCAGCTTGCTCGCACTCTGCTCCCTTCTGGTCGCTATTCACTTCACAACGCAGATGTGTGCAGGCGTCCGGAGCGCTGGTGTTGATTTTGATTTCCACCGCCTGACCGACACGATAGCTTTGCTGGCTGAGATCGTCCGATGTTGTGAGATCCCTCAGAGCTGCAGCGCAGGCATCCACAGCTGACTGGACGCGGCGAGCGTTAGCTGGCCTTGCAGTGGACATCTGGGATGTGATAACTACAAACCACTTTCAACTGACTGATCGCCACTCTAATAACACTAGTTATCGTAAAGTAAAATTTTCGTGGGCCAGATCAGAAAACACACAGCTCGAAAAATCAAAATACACGAGCAGGCGACTATGTCGCTCTAACCCGAGAGAGACCAAGCGAAGCACTGACTGGGTGCTCCCACCGCTTGCTCCTCCAACCGGGAGTGTAAACGTACGTGATAACATGGAAGCCCTGCAACTGCTGTTTTTACACCCGCACGCCGCACCTACAACAAAAACCGAGAAGCGAGTTAGTGCTCGTCGGGTTTGCCACAGTGATGGCATAGTGCACTAAGTGTCATGTAGTCTACGTCGCCTGTCGCAGATTTTTTACTGTTGGATTTTAGCAGTGGTCGGATGACTCGGCCCCGGTCCTGATCACACAACACTCAACACAGTCAACCCTGTTTCGCGAGTTCGACATTGTTTTATTTTGTATGGATATGACTTGAAAGATTGAAGTACAAAGTCAGAACTCTGACAGAAGATTGCATGCCACTGACATGCATAAGCATGCATGCAGTGACTGTGTAGCCTCAGCTCAGCCCTGTGCGTAAACATGGTAAATAAAAATCGTATGTGCTTGACGGCACTGTCACATTCATTTTTCCACCGTGATGTTTGCATTTCACCTTCTTCAGCCAGGATTCAGTCATAACGACAGTTACAATATTACCTATTCAACATTACGTCATTAGCATCTGCTCGCTAGCCCAGGTCTGATCAGGCAGCGTGGAATTATGGTCGAGCACGATCACGATCGGATCCTTTTTCTTAGTTTCCGCGTTCACTTGAGGGCAGATAGCGCGAGTGCACCCGATAATCGCAGGGCCAGGCCCACTGCCAGGGTGTAGCTGTTCATCAACTTTATGTCTCTTTTGACACATTGTCACTGTGCCTTCATGGCTTCAGCCCTTCACTTATCTATTATAATACTATAGTCATCTTGATGCTGATGTCGATCGTCAGGATGGTAGTCTTGATAAGTGGGGCTTGTGTTGGACACCTGCCGTACTGCATGCAAGGATTGAAATCGAAAGTAAGACAACTACATGTAACATAATGTCATTGTAATTTACGAAGTACTGTAAGAGGTGGACTAGTCGACTGGAGTGGAGGGGTTGTGTTCCTGCCAATCCTGGCTTGGTAGTAAACCATGTGCTAGCCCTGAGGCCTCGCGAGGGTTGTTTTACAGTCACTGATTGTCTCAGTCAGTGCAGTCAATCATCATGATCATGGAGTGCACATAATTATATACTTGAAGTAAAAGAGTGTCAATGGCACACCGACGCGTCATTTCCTAGCCCCTAACTTCCCCCTGAGCTATCACAATCCCTCGATCACCTAGACTCTCAAAATACTCAATGCCACGGGTTCAGTCAGCTCAGGAATCGTGCAAGTACATGTAGGACCCGGTGACACTGGAGATACTAATAATTATTATGGTGATCTGGGGATTTTCAGTCATGCACAGCCGCAACATTATTAATTTTGTGCTGTGAAGTGTAACCATGGCAACTACTAACTGTAAGGTAAAGGTCAGTATGATGATGTCTCTCTTTGTATACACTGTGTAGATCTACACTGACTGCAGTACTGCTACTGCTAGCGCTGGCTGTATCAACCACACAGACATTGGAGAGAATGTACAGTGAACGTGTAGTACGTCTAGTACTAGCTGATGGTGGTGAGTGCAGAAGCCTTGCCATACTTACAAATACATGTAATGCACTCTGATTCAGGTACTATTCTGCTCTTTGCACTGCCATACAATCTAAGCTACAGGGCCGGCGGAGCCGCTCCGGTCGGTCCGGCCATGGCCGGACCAACTTTTCGGCCACCGACCATCTTTTTTTACGACGCAGTAACGTTATGTTGTGATCATCGATTGCATGTACGTAGATCTACGCGTACTTGCGATCTCGCTCTGATCTTGCCGTGCACGCGTGCGCGCTTGATCGAGGGCTAACGTTAGCTGTAGCCTGTAGACCTAACGTCTGTGGGGCTGTGCCGTGGCGCGAGTCGCGCGACCTGAAACTAACACGTGCCATGATGGATTCTACCAAGAGTACATAAACCTTTTTTACACAGCTAACAGAGCCTAGCCTTTCGCCTCTGTTGTGTGTGTAAACCTTTTTTATGTACTCTTGATTCAACATAGTCATTGTAAATTTTGTAGTCTTGAGGGTTTTTCGTCGAGTGCTTCAGATTCTTGTACTGAACGAAGTAGTTTTTCAAATTTTTCTTGCTGTTTGGTCAGCTTTAATACAGTGCATGCTTAGCAGCTATGGCTTTTTCCAGCAAAATATCTGTGCCAGAACTGCCAGTCCACCCAACCACTTCCTTCGCGTTTCCTCGGCGGGAATTTGGGAAAAAGACAGTGGTGAAGCGCTCTTGTCAGGCGTCATATATGGTTGACGTACGATGAGCAAAGAGACGTTGTGTTGTGTCACACATGCGCAAGTGCTGTGCTGGCGAAAAAACTTGGCCGGACCAATGAACAATTGCTTCCGCCGGGCCTGAGCTAATCAAAGCATTGCCATAGTATTGGTCCTACAGAGGTCTGACTGTGAAGCACAATACATAATATCACTTCTGCGATGCAATGAGCGATACGAGTCCAATGTTCTGCAAAATGCTGTGCTACAAGTTGCTGCAGTTCCATCACAAGTTACTGTAGTTGAACCATGTAAAGAAGTTGTTCAACTAATGTTATTTCTGCAACGAGCGATGCACATCACTTTCTACAAGGCAGGCACATATGACACAAGTGCTCCAGTTCACGTACAGTTTTTTTTACAGTCTGTGACACAAGTATGAGCAGGATTTTGCTGCGATGTGCCTTGCATTGTGCATTGAAGACTCTTCGTGTGATGTGATGAAGACTTTTTGCATGAAGATCATCGCATTTCAGAATTGACATTTTGCATCTTGCTTTTAAAACACTACTCAGACAGTAGTGCGGTCAATCATCATGTTAAAAAATGTCTTAGTGCAAGAAGAGGACAAAATAGTGCTTTGCCTGGATTTGTGAGCCCCCAAAGGCTATACTACACAATAGGATTCGTAAAATTACAATGAGGACAGTTGGAGTGCCCTCTAAAATTGCTCGTCTTGTCAGATTTAGGGGCCGGGCTATTCCTAATAACATTCCAGACACAATATCAGGTCGAATGTCATTGTCATAATTTTATCACCATACGGTCTACACCATGCGTTGGTGTAAAATGTCCATTGCTGTGGCATTTTTTCTTTTCTTTTTCACAGTAGAAACCTAAAGGTGACAGAAATATCTACCTCTGGCTGTCATTTTTCAAGAAGCACTTGTGCTTAGTGTGGTTAGAGTGCAAGTAAATACATTCAGTGTACATCACACCATCCTGTCATCTAGGATGTATGGACAACTTCATAAAGCAGTAGGTGTAGAAATATGAGGCGTGTGGCGAACCTACACGTGTAGAATGTCGTGCAGTGTCCCTCGCCTAGTACAGTTGTCGCTATCTTCCCCCTTTGCTTCCATGCATACTCTACCAGTCACGAGAAATTCTCCTGTGATACTGTGAATATATAACATGCCAGGCTAAAGTCTCTGCAAGGTGAACACCACACTAGAACTTTATTCTCAACATCACGTGTGAATATATAGACTTTCTCAGTTTCTATCACATTGTGATGGGACAGTCTACCTGAAAAGCATCAAAAGAGGACACAATCAAACTTGCAGGATTCTTTACCGAATGGTTCATACCAGGTAGTTGTCTGAGTGGAAGCTATAACATCTGCAACTGCTTCTTTGAAACTGTTGACCATGTATGATGATAAAAAGCGTGTGGAAGTTGTGGGGAATGTCAAGACATCCAAACCACAAGCTAGGGATCATCGGCGTGTTCTATGGAATGTAAGCAATCAGCACCACAGTCCCTATTCACCCAGTCCTGCAGCTGATACGGCTGGGCTAACTGACCCCGATCAATGCTGCACACAATCCCATGGCAGTCCGAGTGAACTGCCTGCTAATGTTACTAACGTTAGCAGTCTGCAACTGACTGAACCTGATCAGCGCCCTGCATGTACACAGCCCTATGAGGAGGCTATCCAGGCCGGGCAGCAGCTTAGCACTGCGGACCAACATGATGAATATGAGGTCAGTCTGTTCTACGTCATTCCTCCATCAGCTCGTACCGTTAACATTGCTACTGGATGAGTTACTGTATGGCTTGTTTCACTGCATTGTACCTGCAGATGTTGAGACATTTCACGATGACCCACTTCTTGTCATAGCTTATACATGTATTTAACTTTGCTCTGTTGCTGTGCAGGCCTGCAGTATACTGGTGCGCAATATCCCACAGGACAAAACACGGTCGGATGTTGAAAGTTACTTCTCTGAGATAGGAGAGGTGAGCTGACTGTCATCCTATTTAGTGTTGCAATAAGAAAGTTGATGCATTGACGCTCTCCTCCTGGGTGGTTCACTTCTTTGGAAGCGGATTTGATATGATATCTGATATAGCCAAGTGAGATTTGTTTGATTTACGGGCCGCATCGTTCAACCAGTAACTTGGGCTGTGCTGGCAAGGAAGCAGACAGTTGCAATTCGTAATCTCCATTGTCTGTTTGTGGATGTTCTCCATAGCGTTTTTCTTCCTGCCTGCAAAACTTGACGAGTCAGCTTCACTAGAGTACCACTGCGAACACATCGCCGACAGTCAGCTTCACTAGAGTACCCACTGCGAACACATCGCCGACAGACAGTCGACTAGAGTACCCACTGCGAACACATCGCCGACAGTCAGCTTCACTAGAGTACCACTGCGAACACATCGCCGACAGACAGTCGACTCCTGATATAACAAACACCATTGTGCAAGAGAATTAGTTCTTTATAGCCAAAGTTCGTTATAACAGAAGTGCACTCACACCATACGTACATATACAAGCAGCAAGTGGCCCATGACAGTGCGAGTGCACTTGGTTTGCATGCGGCTCTACAAGATTTGGTGAAAATGTTTCGCTATAAGGGGTCGATTTTGTATGGGTTCAAACAGGGACATGGACAAGGATTCGCTATATTATCACGAAATTCGCAATATGCGAGTTCGTTATAAGTGGAGTCGACTGCACTACTTTTCACAGCAAATAGAAGAAGCTGAAACACTAGCTACACTGTTCGTTGTTGGTCTCTAGCTCCGGGATGTCGGGAAAGCCCACTCCTAGCGCCTACCATTTATTCAATCGAATAACTTTGAACTGTTAGACCCTTGGTATAATATTTTGATTTCGGCCAGGTTTAAGCCTTGAAATCTGTAATATTGCTGTAGACAGTGTCCAGCTGATAAGCCAAATTCCTTGGAGATTTTTGTAGCTGAGAACACACTAGAAGTCCATCCAGAACTCGGTGCAGGTTTTCACATGATTGTCTAGCTCTCAGCATGCACTGTTCCTTGCACAGTCTGTAGTCGTATAACACTGAACGCTGTGCCTGTCTCTTTGCAACCCAGGTACGCCGTGGTTGCAGCACCATGTTCGTGAACCCAGCTACAGACAAGTTCACTGGTACAGTCCTAATACTTGTCTTGAAGTGCATGTGCATGTGCAGGCTGCATAGTGTGTGTACACGCAGTTCTTCCTCACCTAGAGTAGGACGGTCATTCTGTATATTTATGTACAGTTCAAGTTAATTTTTAGTACATGCGTTTGCACCCAAGATGCAAGGGTATGTTGGGTGTTCCGGCTTCATTGCGATTTTAAAGGGTACATAATTATTATTGCAAGTAACTTGAAATCTGCCCTACTGTCACTGCGTGGTCACTGCCTCTATCTGTCTCAGGTGTCTGTCCTATCTTGTTCCCTTCATTGGTCGGCCTGGATTCTAGATAAAACCATGAGCATGGAGTTATAGGGTGGCCAATCGCTCGTGGGTTTGTCTGATTTCGTTTCTGCCTGGCATCATGCAGGTGTTGCCGATGTGGTGTTCAAGTCCTGGGCGAGCGCCTTACAGGTCCTTTCTTGTCAGTATCTACTAATGAGACCTAGCGTAGTAAGTACCCAGTACATGTGGATACATGCCGGCGGTATGTTATACTTCGTCAAATACGCCCAGACAGGATGGATTTTCAGATTTCCCCAAATTCAACCCGATCTAAACTCCAAAGTTTATTGTAGGGTGGTGCATATTTTTGCTGTGACAAACATTCTGGAAGTACGATCTGTGTAGCACCCATACACCTCCCTCTGATATTCTTGCACTCGTTTTAACCATATGCCATTAGCCACACTACCAGTACTTGTTCCTCTCCAGGGGCGTAGCACCCGCTACGACTGGTACGACCATGGCCGTACCACTTTTCGAAAAGTGTGGTCCGTCCGGAACGTGCAAAACCGTAATAAAAAAATCAGGATCCATCGTTAACGCGTTGCATATGCGAATCAGACCTTTTTCTACTGTAGACTCGTACTCGTAGATCTGCCATGCATCTGCCATGCATCTGCCATGCATCTGCCATGCATCTGCCATGCATCTGCCATGCATCTGCCATGCATCTGCAGTCGTATTGAGTACTGTACCCTACACTATAGCCTAGTGTACTCGACTCCACTGCACGTGCACACTGAACAGTCCCAGAACGCAGGATTTTTTGTCTTTTTTACAACATTTTCCCGGGGGAGGTCCCCGGACCCCCCTCCAAAACGGCCTTTGGCCGCGCCAACCTTCGGTCGTACCACTTCCAAAACCCCTCCTACGCCCCTGCTCTCACTATGTGCGGATTTAAAAAAAAAAAAAGAACCTACTACTACTTCGAAGTACTGCGAACTATTATCTAGAACAGACATGAATTGAAATAATTATAATCCACTACACAAATCAATAGTGGAAAGTTGTTTGGCACCACCATAATAAGTATTATGTCAACAGTATCTACATTACTCGGTGTGTGTCCGTTCACTGCTCAGATTTCAGTGGAGCCTGCTGAAGTGGCCGGGTATGACCGTTATGAACATGCGAGGAGGACCTGTGGGAACCGCACTCTGCCACCGCTGCCCATACAGCTCCGCAGAGTCAACTTGAGAGGCAGTCCGCTACACCGCATAATGCCAGTGACGGAGAATGGCGAAGAACTGCAAGTCCTAAGCTACTTCTCCAGGATGACGTGTGCAGAGTTTGATGATGCTTATTCCGTAAGTTGATAACCCCCCCCCCCCCCCCCCCAACATAATTATCTGTAGTTTGAGCGACATCATGGATCTTATGATACTTGTGAGAGATCAGACCCGGCGAGGTGGAGTAAGGAGGTCCCGGGTTTGATGATGGTTCCAAATATATAAAATGTATCTCATATAATATTCTACTTTTAGTCTCCAATCCTGCGCCATCCCCATATGACCATTGCCAAGAAAGGGTTGGAAGCAATTTTTGGAATCTTGCACTAGCCGGCCACAAGCTACATTTCCAGGCACAATGGAATGCCGGCTTGGTACGATAGCGCGACGGTAAGACCATTGGGCAATACGGTCTAACCACATTTCGACAACGAAAAGCACCAACCGCCCAATCTGGGAGGCTCAATTTTATCAAGCGAAGCTTCCCTCTCATTACTTATTCTTGGAATTATCACTAATATCCATGAACATCCAAAGTTGGAAGGCCGTTGGTCAGCGCTATCGAGCAATGCTCAAGCTCACTTCCTTGCCGTGGATTGTCTCAGTACTCCTTGTCAGTCTGGTGCTAACTTGTGCACAGCTGACTGTTCAAAATCTGGTTTAGTTGGTGGACTCTAACACATAACTTGCGTCCCACCGTTTTCCATGTTTTCCATTTAATATTTCCTTGGCTCACCATTCCGGCGAGTTCTTCATGTCCGGAGCTTTGTATTTTGTCTTTTTCTTCTAGCTATCCCAGATGGTAGATGGACTCGTTAGGGATGATGGCAGCGAAGAGTAGCCAGGCACTGCGCATCAGCTCAGGATTGCCTCTGATATCTGTTACCAACCTGGAGACTAAAATTGCCTACACTCAAGCAGTCACTGTGTCTGGTCTGCGACTGGTTTTTGATGTGGTTGTGTTTCGAGTATACCTATAGCATTTGTGTTGCTTCAAGTATGGCTTTGATTTGGCATTGCGTTCCAAGAGTATGGATTTCTTTTTGTTTGCCGTCATGTTTCCTGTCAGTATATGTTCCTGTAGTGTTGTGGCGTTGGCATTAGCATAAGGCTTGTCATGCTGCACAAGTAATGCATTGACGTGACCGTGTCCGGAGCTATTTCTTTCCCAGGCCGCACAAGCATTCAAGCTTCTTTTGCTACATACTACATTCACCACAACAAGGCAACCATTTTGTGTCGTTGTTGTCTCGTTTGCATGCTCGTCTTGTCAGTGAACGGTTTGCTCCAACTCCGACTAAGCAACCATGGTCATCGTTGTTGATGGATTTCAGGCTTTTTTTTTTTCAGCTGTTGTTCTGGTAAATAGCACTGTGACGTGCCACTGCACAACATTTGCATCATTCTCTGTCATGCTAAGCTATCATGCCTACTGCACAGCACTATCTATTCAAAAATTAAACAGTCATTTTCGTTTTAATGCAATGAATAAAGCTATGTGTGCACTCATATCACAACCATCGGGACGATTCAAGTACATTGTCACAATGCACTTGCCGAATTTCCTATCATTTCTCACCTGTATAGTCACGTTTTATTACCAGTGCACTTTTTCCCAAGTTTGTGCTATTCTTCTTACTTCTCTTGTATCCTCGTTTTTCTTTTTCACTCCAAGTGTATAAATCCTATTGTAGTTTCATCATTCTCTTTAGTCACGAATTCCATTGATAATTGTGACAAGAAAACGTTCTGGAATACTTGAATCGTCCCGATGGTTGTGATATGAGTGCACATACTTCAAGTAATTCATTGCATTATTAAGATTATTGTGTCCATGTCGTCATTTACGTTTCTTCGTGTAAGTTTCTAATCAATAAATAGCCCTTTGAACCTAAATAGTCGTTTTCACCATGTCCTCGAGTCAGCACAATCAGTCATGTCGATCTCATTTTCATTTGTCACTGCAGCTGGCAATGGTCTTCACCAGAGCACTTCCGGTACTACTAGCATGATACATCCCTCAGTATAAACACATCATGTACAGCGCTGGTAATCATTCCCTTCCCGTTGTCAAACCCAAGACTTTGAACACCGAGTGATCTTCAAGGAGCCCAGTGGTGTTTTCAAAACCAATCTTGAGAGGTTTGAGAGGTTTGAGAGGTTTGAGAGGTTTCGGTTGCCAACCTACAAATACAAGTACAGTAAAACCTGGTGTAAGCGACCTCTGGGTTTAGCGACCTCTGGGTTTAGCGACCTCTGGGTTTAGCGACCACCTGCTCTTTAGGACCGTTTTTCCACGCACCGACAGCTGTACACAGACACTGTGGGACCTGGTTCTAAAGACCACCTGGCTTTAACGGCCGCTTTTGCTTGCACCGTGGGGTGGTTGCTTAAAGGGGAAGTGCATCGATTTTTCGAGTAGGGTTCAGAAGAAAGGCAATTCGATATCGGTTCGAATGGCATATCTCTCGCTTCCATACGATAAGCCAAACTTGCCAAATCGCCAATTGTATACTCACGTTGCCATAGCGACCAGCGCAGTGATGACGTACGAAAGGCTTAGCTCCATCACAGAGATGGTCGATCACTGCAGAAATTGGTCATTTTCATGATTGTCTTATTGTATCCACGATGTGAAAGAAGCGCTGTGTTCAATGCTGTTAGTGCCGTGAACTGTTTATCGGCCTTCTCCTACATTTCCCTTTGCTGACTGTGCCTGGGAAATGGTCCCTCTAGGAGAAGATGCTTGGTATTCGCGATCTCTCCTGAGACATTTTCAGCAAACTTTTAAACCTACGACATTATTTCATTCGTCAATCTCCACCACCCGTCGTCTCACCTGGCTTCAGAAGATGTTACGAGAGATAGGAGAGTCGCCAGGAAGCATCACATCCATCTTCAGGAAGTGGAAAGAGCAAACGGCATGGAGCTTGGTTGGGGGAAATGCTGAACGTCTGATTCGTCCCAACCAAGATTTCAGCATTTTGTTCGTCACTATTTCCGCTTGTCTGCTGATGTTTTCGCACTCCAGCTTTCTCCTGTCGGTGTCACGTCCCAGTACGCAACCGAGAGGACTACTAATAAACAGTTCACTGCACTAACAGCATTGAACACAGCCCTTCTTTCACTTCGTGAATACAATAAGTAAGTAAATAAGTAAATTATCGTATCCGTTCCCGAAGGGAACTCACGACGGCCGCTAACACCCGATAAACCCTAGCGGCAGATGCAGCGCCTAACGGTGGGGGTGAGTGGGTAAGTCTCACAACCACTGGCACAAGTGCCGAAAGCGACCCCATTAGCTGCATCCATGTACCCCTTGTGCCTGGCCACAAGTTCCCAGTTGACTGTGGGTAGCAGCACGGCTGGAAAAACCGCTCCCAGGCAGGACTTGAACCAGGTACCTCTCGTATCTCAATCATGGTCTTTGACCAACCCACTGTGCCTGCCTGGTCACATATATTAATTGAAAATGACCAATTTCTGCAGTGAATCGACCTTCTCTGTGGTGGAGCTAAGCCTTTCGTACGTCATCACTGCGCTGGTCGCTATGGCAACGTGAGTATACAATTGGCGATTTGGCAAGTTTGGCTTATCGTATGGAAGCGAGAGATATGCCATTCGAACCGATATCAAATTGTCTTTCTTCTGGACCCTACTCGAAAAATCGATGCACTTCCCCTTTAAACCTGCTTTTACTGTAATACAAAATTTCGGCCCTGTAATTTTTTGGGGCATTTCACGATTTTTGACATTTTTGCAGCGATTTATTTTCGGCACGATAAATACTAGTACATCACCAAAGACAATGTGAAAATTTTTATTAAGCGTTTTAATTTAGGCGTTTTGGGTCAGTACTGTGAATATAGCCAAAATTACATAGCAGCCACAATGCTGTATACTTACAGTACTAGGCGTCTCAAGTGATATTGGCACACGGTGGGAAATACGGCATTTACCAGGCTGAGAACTTGATAATGGTGATAATGTGCACCAGGGATTGAAAGACCTGATGGCATATCTTGACAGAATTATCAAGCAATCTCAATTAATTTTGCAGAAAAACAGACTAAATAGAGTGTGGATACAGAACTGGGTATGCTAGTTTAAAACTGATTTCTGAGGACATCTTTTAAATATTGTCTTGTGAATAGAAACAAAGCTGTTGGAGTCACATCGCCCTCATCTCGGGCTGGTGCACGTGATATCACACTTTTGTTGTGAGTCACTTTCCCTTTCTCGCTGCTCCAGTGTGGTACTCTTAGTGTAAACACTTCCAAACAAGGCGGTATTGTAAAAATTTCACCAAGTGATATCGCGGCCGCTCCTTTCTATTCGCAGTGGAGCCAATCCACGTGACTCTAGCTTGCGGCGAGGCTGAGCTGAGCAAAGCCTACATGGGACTAATCACGGCTTTGTTTCTTGTATTGTTACCGCCGTGTGATACTCTCACCGTGTGTACTTGCTCCTCTTGGAGCAGGTGTTCTGGATGGAGGCACACTGTCACCAGCCCCAGGTTGGCGCAACACAATCTCACAACAGAAGCAGTTGATAGCTTCGCACTGGGGCATTTGACATTGGCAATGGCATTCTGGAAATGATGGACATCCAGGGCAAGTTGGACACTGCGTGCGGCAAGGGAACAAACACATCACAGAGAACATCAGAGATATACATGTATACGTATGAGTAGTTATTCGAGTGAAAAAGTGACACATACAGTCTTCTGAGACAATGTATTTGACAGGACTATCTGCCCTCGAGCATAATACTGTATCACATGACAGAACACCTACTAAGACCCCCCCCCCCCCCCAGACTGTATTTCTTGTCCATCATTACCCAATGCCATGCAACATTGCAACAGCACTTACAGTGAACTCAGGGCACTGGAACTCTTCATCAGAAGGCTCACAGCATGTCGGGCATTCGGGCAACTCTGGACACGACGGGCACGCTGGATACGACTCTGTCGGGCACGTGGGACATGGACACGTGAACTTGCCTTTCTTCGTGTAGAAGCAACCACACGAGTGGAACTCATTGCAGCGGCAACTCTGAATGCAAAATGGAAAAAAATATCATTTGCATCAATACTGCTTACTTGTGCAACATTTCGCAATCAAATTGTGTACTCTGGGTATGACTAGCCTTGTACAGCAGTATCCAGTGTACTCTGGGTATGACTAGCCTTGTACAGCAGTATCCAGTGTACTCTGGATATGACTAGCCTTGTACAGCAGTATCCAGTGTACTCTGGGTATGACTAGCCTTGTACAGCAGTATCCAGTGTACTCTCACGGTATGACTAGCCTTGTACAGCAGTATCCAGTGTACAGTGGGTATGACTAGCCTTGTACAGCAGTATCCAGTGTACAGTGGGTATGACTAGCCTTGTACAGCAGTATCCAGTGTACAGTCTGGGTATGACTAGCCTTGTACAGCAGTATCCAGTGGTCAAACTACACTGTGCGGCAATGTCTGTCTTACCTCATAGGACGGACAGTAGCGTATCCAGCACACCTTGCATGACTTGGGAGTCTCCCGGCAGCCACAGCCCTCGCCTACAGACTGCACGGCCTGCGCACACGTACCGGTCTCCGACGTACATGCTTCATGATCACAGCACCCTGGTAGTTTAGGACAGCGTGGGCAGGAGATTGTCTTGCCTTTACTCTACATGAATAGCAACACAACACAGCCAACAGAATGTGAGGACACACAGATGGTATAGGCCAGAGATTTGTTCATGGCACCTCAGAAGTATGAGTAGTCACTCTTGTAGCCGAAGGGTTAAAAGCCATGACTCTATTGCCTTGCCACTAGATGACAGATACCCTGGTGGAGCCTGATTGTCAGACTCATGCGCCTATGTAGGCAAGACATGGGCATGGTGGTGCTCTGGGTCATCTACATAATGTTGGGCCAATCTTGGTATGCATGCCTTCGGATGCCTACCCACAGAAAAATACACCAAACAACCAACCAACCCCATTGCTGCTGAAACAACAAATAGACTCTCGGTGACCTACGCTTGTTCATGCCACTCTACAGTCACCAGTTCATGAGTTCAATGAGTGACCAAATCACTGCAATCTAAGTACACAGTAACACAGTGTAGCATGGCTATGTTACCTGGCACCATTTCTTCAGCAGCAGAATCAGTACAATTGCTAGAATGTACACAGCTGACGTGACAACAATGATGGCAGAAATGGGAAAGGCCGGCTGACTGGCGGGACCGATTGTTGTTCCTTGGACAGTGGGAGCCTACACAATGGTAAAAAAATCCATGGACCTTTGAACTCGGATACTGAGCCAGTAAATATTATTAGAATAGAATATCTTGTTACAGTCGTGGATAGTTGCTTCATAACTCGTTTCCATGTGATTTCTTCTATTTTAATCATGGACCTTTTCAAAAATAATTTTCAATGTATACGCCAATAAGGCCTCCTAAGCAAAAGTTATGTATACTCGCCAGTTGACTGGAAATATTCACTGTAATTTCAGTCAACTCCACATATAAGTGACGAACTCGCATGTAGCAAATTTTATGATATTGCGAACCATTGTCCATGTCCCTGTTCTACCCTTTATAGCGAGTAGTTTTTCGTTTACAACAAACCATATCTCACAAACCATATCTCACAAGACAGCATGTAAGGGGCCATCCGTAAATATCGATAGTTTTTTCAATCCGTGAATTTTACACCCACCCCCCTACTTTTTACGGAATAAAATATTGATGACACAATCATATACTGTACCTACATGTACATAAATGTAGGTGGAGTCCATACACACGCAGGCATACGCTCACCGTGTCATTCATAACTAGAGTACAGCAATGTATTTTGGCAGACTTATGCCAGGAATGTTGTCCAAGAATCACTTGCTCTTCAGCTCATTCCAAATACATCATACCCTTTATGGGCAAGCTCTTTGAAAAACTTATCTTTTTTGGCAGCTGTACCAAACAAAGTAGTCTGCCGTGCCATTTTCGTTAGGCAGCTGTACCAAACAAAGTAGTCTGCCGTGCCATTTTCGTTAGGCCACGCTCCACATGGGAACTGTTCCAACCATTGGCGATGTAGCAATTCTTCGATGTGGAGTTCAAATAAGAGCTGGACTTGACCCGGATTAATCAGGTATTGTGATACTTCGAATAATTGTGCAATAATTATACTTGTGAATAATATCTGACAAACTTCCCTCTTTCTTTTGCTTCAAGAGTTTCGATCTCCACTACATTTTTTGGAGGCAACAATCTACGTGTACGTGTGGTTCGACGCACGCAGACCCACGCACACGCAGTACTGGGCGCCAGGTCCGCGTGTCATCGATATTTTATTTACTTTGAATTTCGGCTGCACCCACCACCCAGGTACGAAAATTTCACGGATTGTAAAAACTATCGACATTTACGGACGGCCCCTAAACTAAGTGCAATAATGCTGTCACGGGTCACATGCCAGTCATGATGTGTTGCTTGTATGGTGTGAGTGCATTTTGGTTATAAAGAACTTCGGCTATAAAGAACTAATTCTCCTGCACGATGGTGTTCGTTATATCAGAAGTCGACTGTATGCCACAGTCAGTTGTGGCAATAAAAGCAGACATTCACTCTCAGATTTCATTTCCTACACTGTCCCATATGTCCAAACTTTTGCAAGAACTTCAGTCTGAAACTCAACTTGTATTTCAGTTCTGAATCACCGGTGATGTGTTTCATAGGCACCTAATAAACTGGTTTGATCTGATATTCATTGCATTGTAATGCGAAGTTCGGATGACCAAAATCCAGTCTGATGTGCGGCTTATATTCCGAATGGCAACACAAATGTGAAATTTAGGCCTGAAAAGGTGTGTGCGTGCGGCCTATACCCTGGTGCGGCTAACACTCCGAAAAAACGCTGTAAGTGTAAGCAGTGAATGCATGTTTTTCGTAGCAGCAGATTGTTCACAGTGTAGGTGGATGACCAGTTGCCCAACGCCTATTTCAAATGCCTTGGGTGTGGTAAATGATCAACATGTACCCATTGGCAGATATACTTCTCATGCATGGCTTTGTTAGTTTCCAGCCTATTCTCTGCACTTACCATTAATTCCTACAGTACATGCGTCCAAACAATATGCTTCTGCCAGGAACTCTGAATGCCTTCCAGCTCGCCTCTTCTACACATCGGCATTGTCCCCCTAGCGGCACTGCTTGAATGCCTTCTTGGCCTTGCTAGCGTCTTTCTAGGTCTGGCAGCACTTACTCAGCGCAGCTTATGTGCAGTACTTTACAGCCACTGGCCCACTGCTCACTGGCCATTCATTCCCGCTGCAAACTGCTAGTCGACAGTCACATGAATCACAGCGCGAAAATAATAAAAATTGATTCTTCTTGTGACCAGGTAGATCTACGTACCGCGGAACTATCAATCACCAAAAAAGAAGAGTGAAGTTAACTGAAGGGGGTACTGAAGACTGAAGTGACCATGGTGACCATAGTGACCATAGATCTACATGATGATTGATGCGATGATGGTGCGTGGTGCAGTCAACATGGTCAAGATGGCCAGATAACCATGATAACAATGTCATGATAACTGCTGAGTGCTGGCGTGCTGCACTACCAGTTTTTGTGCGTCTCGAGCTAGCTACAAAAAAGTTTGTAGCTCGCGCTTGTCTGCTCCAGCTCCATGGAAACGCATCATCACGTCCAAAAACAATGACTGTCACGACGAAATATTTTTTTTTAATTATTCCGTGCGATGCGTCTGTACTGTACTGTCGAGTGTCGACCATGGTCGACTGCTCTGGATCAGGACACACCTGCGCACCTGACTCCTGTCCTGAGCTTGACACAGCTGAGACTGTGAGAGTTGACAGATCAGCACTCCGCGACTTTTACTTGTGGAACTCTCATTCTCAACAACATCATAATTATCACTATCACTATCAGCCACATGCACTGCCTGTCTGTCGACATGCCCAGCGTTTTCACGAAACGCAGAATCCGTCAAGAAGCGCGGCCCCGTCCCCGACAAGTCAGACGTCAGTTGGTTGAAAACCGGGAGTCGTGACAGGCTTTCAACCAACTCCCTGGTTGGAAAAGAGCAGATTTTTGAATCTTTGCATCTCGTGATGTGATGGCAATATGTCAATCACGCCTGGACGACATGCATACCAGTGCCAAGCAGTAGTGGCTGCATGAATGTGGTTACGTGTGCCAAACAGCCTGGAACCGCACACACGCGACTGCTATCATTATCACAGTACTGGATGAGCAGGGGCATCCGTCACCCACGTGACCCAGCCACCTAACTTCACAAAGACACAGCGCTCAGCACAGAAGAAGGACAGTAGCACGGAGTAATGCGAACCCAGACGAGATCAGGGACCACACTCGTACTCCCAGTTCCAGGTTTAGTAGCGCTGTCCGGGCATGTCCTGGACCTGGGTCTACCGGGCCGTAGATCTACTGCCTGTCGGACTTATGCCATGGGCATGGCATGATGTATCAGACTTCGGCCAGACACTGATCCATGCAGCGCGGGGATAGACTGGTCTACCACTAGGCACTACCACTGACTCATTGACTGTGTGTCTGTACAAGTCTACCGGCAGGGCAGGGGTGTCACACATTCAAACACCATCAAGTCTTGTGTGTGTGTGTGGCAGACCGGAATAGCATTGTGCATGATTTCGCCTTCTAGGTGGAGAGTTATGGACAACGCCGTCGCATTCTTCGCACCTATCGAACGTAATATTTGCCCACATGTGTGAATGTGTGCCTCGAAAACTACCAGTTCGATCACACCTATTTGTTTCCAAGTAATAAGAAGATCGGTGCATGGGTTTCTCGCAACTCCTGTGCGGCCGCACCACTCATTGGTGTTGGGAGTCTGAGCTTTGTGAGAGTCGGAGCTGCGGTATTCCCCACGGAGGAAGAAGGGCCGTTGAGTCGGCGACCTCTTACTGGGGTTGTTGAGAGGAATGACCATGGACGGTGCGAGCGCCGGGGTGCGCAGCAATCGGGATGATCCCGCACTTCCACAGCCATCCGCATCCGCTGCTGCTAGTTCTGCTGCTGCTCCTGGACCTGGTGCCACCACCTCGGTAGCCACCGGGACGAGTTCAGGGGCTACGACCAGTGCTGCCCCCGCTACTGCCGCCCCCACTGCTGCTGTCCCCGCCGCTGGTGGCAGGGTTGAAAGCAAGGTGAAAGTCATTGGTAACTACGTCCTGACTGGAAAGACATTGGGAAAGGGGAACTTCGCCAGAGTTGAAGAAGCTCAGCACACGGCCTGCAGAGCCAAGGTGGGTTGGTGCATAGACCAAGAGCACGGAGTTTGCAATCTACATACAATCTAGATCTACCTACGCTGCGGTGTAGCTGATCCACCTTTTTTGGGGGAGGGGTGTCTTGAAACAGTTCCAGTAGTAGGTTTATAAATGACATTTCACTCTGCAGGTATAGCAGAAGTGAACTTTGCGCAATTGTGCTCAATTCTGGTGGCTTCAAAGCAGGTACTGAACTGCGATCCCTTGGCCATTTCACCCGTACATGCACACAAGATTGACTGGGAGGTCCAAAGATTTCAGGGAGGTGTACACGTCCCCTCCACCACTGTGCCCCTCACGGGCTACACACGTGCTACGAACCAGCAAGATAGAAAGGTTCTGGTGGCATTGTATGGCAGAAGCAGCAAACAAACCATTGCAGTATTTCCATTCCCTATTGTATTGTCACTTGAGTAGGATTGGCAGTAAGAGCTGAGCTGAGTTGCTGCGACTGACACCTGAAAATTTCTGTAGCTCCGGTTCAGTTTCTTTTTGATCTTCTCATCCTTCCCTCTGGCTCCGTGACCAAGATTTTATGGATAGGAAAAGGGATGAATCCTTGCCAGAGAATGACACTAGGGGAGTGACACTCCCGATAGTCAGTGGAGGATTCTCTTTGCTCTTATCCTGTGCTTTGGGATAGGCAGCACAGTCAATTCAATGCAGTTGTATCATGAGTGACTCATCTAGGTTACTGGCAACAAACTAGAGCAGCAGTGAGAGACACAGGAACCTCATGCATACCACAACCTAACTCCACGTTTCCCTGAGTCCGCTTACGTGAATGAAATCAAGTTTGCATGAACAATGGGTAGATCTGCCTTTGAATATTTCATATTGCAGAGCTCTCCTGCCAAGTATGCATGTCGATCTACATTGCGACAGCTTACAAGGTACGCTGGACCAATCATTTCTATGTGTGCCCATGCATGTTTGTGGCTTGTGCACAGGTTGCAATAAAGATCATTAACACCGATCGGATCAAGGAGGAGTATGTCAAGAAGAACCTGCTGCGAGAGGCATACATCATGAGACGTCTGAATCACCCCAACATCGTGCGCCTATACGAAACAATGAAAACAAGGTATGCCGGATGCCAGTAGGATGCTTGGACACGGTGCGCTACAAGATAGGAAAGCATTCCGTGTGAGGTCACTACTGTCTACAATGCCCATGAGGTACTGGTTGATACTGAGAAAACATCGTATGCAGCGTGCCGTGAATTGGCACTAACTTGGGTAAAGCAGATTGCACAACATCATTTTCAAACTGTGCAGCACCGATGTATGGAGCAAAGATATACTCGACTATAGGCGGGCATTGTACTATGCTTTGTTAGTAAGTGTAGTGGCAAATGCTCATGCTATTGGCATACGGGTTGTTCCGTTGGTTGTTTGGATCGGTTCTGAATTTGTCCAGGTCACTCTACTGCCTTGTGACTGAGTGTGCTGAGGGTGGTGAGCTGTTGATGCATGTGAAGAATGATCATGGTGCTGAGAAGCGACTGCCTGAATCCAGCGCACGTCCGTTTGTCAGACAGCTCATGTCCGCACTGCAATACATGCATGAGATGGGTATTGTACACAGGTGAGTGAGCTATACCCAGTGTTATGCTGTGAACAGGTCTCATCGTGTTCTTGTTCAGGGACATTAGGTTTTTTTGCAGACTACACATCCCACCGAGAAACCGTGACCAAGACATAAAAGGAGAGATCTGCGTGACTACGTGTGTATCCCATCCAAACCCCGAGTGGGGGACCTGAGTGGACTTGTTCTGCACTTCAGTAGCAGAAATGACAAAGGATTTGCTTTGAATGTCATGCATGTTGTAGGAACTACTGCTAGAGATTGCATTGCAAAGTGTTATATTGGTTTTCTGCATCAGGTACAAGCTAAAATAAACAAGAAATGGAGAAGTTTTCTTGTCCATGATACTCTTCCCTGAGATCAGTTATTTCTTTCGTCCCTCTACGCTCCTCTCCTCCTACCCAACATACACACACGCACACACATACATGCTTACATGATCAGGGATCTGAAGATGGAGAACATCCTCTTGGACAAGACAAAGAAACACATCAAGATTGTTGGTAAGTTTGAACGATCGGAGTCCAATGTTATCTTGGTCCAAAAAGGATGTTTTACCTAACAATTATGTTGAGGATGCTCCAGGAATTGTGTGGCAAGTGTCATGTCAGCAGAAAATCATACGCTTCAACGAAGTGATTGGTGACACCATGTTTGATCTGGCCGTTATTTTCAATATGTGCAGATTTTGGCCTGAGCAATACGAGAGAGCCAGGAGAGTTCTTGTCGACGCACTGTGGCTCACCCGAGTATGCTGCACCAGAACTCTTTGTTCCTGGCAAGGTCTATGGACAGGAGGTGGATGTATGGAGCCTGTAAGTAACCGTGACAACAGGTCATGCTACAGTGGTCTTAAAAACGTTCCTTGTATTCCAGCTGCAAATAACTTACAGGATTGCGGCACATGAGATGCCCAATACAGGCACATTTTATAACAAAAAAATTTCTTGGCTAACCAGTATGTACATCGTGTACTTCATGTGTCTTCGAATGCCAACAAAACATGGAGTCGTATACATCCTGGTGTGCTGTGCTGACTTTCCATGCTGCCGTCATGATGGTGCAGTTAACTGTTTGGATTAAAAAACACTAGTAGCTCAAATCATGATGTGTTTGTGTTTATCTTGTCTTTTACGAACAGGGGAGTCAATATGTTTGCCATGTTAGCCGGCCGCTTGCCATTCAGGTAAGACACAATTACCAGTGCTAGTTGATTTACAGAAGAAACCATCTCCCAGTACGCACAGGAGAGTAGCCAGAAAGCACAATGTTCTATAATGACAGGTTCTGATTATCAGAATTTAGAACTTGGGCTGTTTACCGGCGCCGGATACTCTGGCATAACTACCTACCAAGAATGTGGGCTTTTTAATCCGAACATGTTCCCAGAAGCGTTGAGCCTGACATGCAATAATATTGTATTAAATGTCATAGTATTGAACAGCATAATGCAGTAGGTGATGACCTTGCCATCGGATTATCGTGTTCAACTTCTTCCAGAGTACCGCGACAAGGACCTAGTCGGCGTCAGCGCTTGCTCGAGCAGATTTCCAATGGCATAGGACCTACACAGGAACAGGAAGGTGCACACATCTCCGCAGGTAAGTTGCAAGTGCTTATTTGTTTAGTAGTGCATGCTACTGTGTATTCACTTTTACTACATGATACTACTAGAGCACATCTTTGCAACCTTCTGAACGGCTGATTGCTGAAAAACGTCCACTAATGTGCAGCAATTGGGAGGTGTATGTATGTGTGTGTGTGTGTGTGTGTGTGTGTGTGTGTGTGTGTGTGTGTGTGTGTGTGTGTGTGTGTGTGTCATGGTGTGTGTGTGTGTGTGTGTGTGTGTGTGTGTGTGTGTGTGTGTGTGTGTGTGTGAGGTGTGTGTGTGTGCATGTGTGTGTGTGTGTGTGTGTGTGTGTGTGTGTGTGTGTGTGTGTGTGTGTTATGTCTGCATGTGTGTGTGTGTGTGTTTATATGGGCAGTTGGGCAAATGTGCATAACTACTTGGTTTTGTTCATGTTCTATGTGATTAGGTGCCATGGACCTGATACGCCAGCTTCTGAAACCTGACCCCACCGAACGACCAACCATTGTGATGGCCATGAAGCATAAATGGATAACAAAGAACGACCTCTACCCCATGCAGCCGTACCAAGAAGATGGTGTCGACCCTTCACAACATGATCGGGTAAGAACCAGCTGTCCAAAAGGAATCCCCTTGACTATACAAATAATCTGAATCTATGGATTTTTCATGGCTCACGTTGGTGACTGCTACAACACAGGGTTGGCTGTAGACTGTAGACCGTGGCAGCCACATTACAGTGCCAGAAGAGTACTTGTTCAGAAAATACCACACAACACAGGAGGTAGAACTTCCAGCATCGGGCTAGCAGCAAGATCGAAACTTTTCAACAACCACTGCCATTCTGCCCACTACAGTGTGTCGTTCCGTTCTTACTCAGAACTGCGAAAGACAGATGGAAGAGGCCTTGCTATTTGTTGTTCATGCTGCATCTCCCCTCAGATCTTAGACCTGATATGTGCGCGACTGGATGTGACACGCCGCCAGGTATCGCAGTCAGTGAGTGAGTGTAGATGTGACTGGGTGGCCGCCATCTACCACCTACTACATGACCAGCCAGAGGGACAGGTAAGAAGAACCTATACTACATGTACTACATGTATAGGATGCACTGTGCACTGTCCACCGTACATTGTGCTGGGAACATCAGAAAGCATTTCCGTATTCTTGCATGGAAAAGTGGAGATTGAGATTTACCCATGCCAAAGATGTCTTTTTTTCAACGTCTTAGGGCATAACTTCATGGGGATATAGAAATTGGTATTTCCCTCTATCTTTGATCCCTCTCTATCAGGGAGTCGTACTCAAACTAGGGAGGTGACACGGCACAGAAATCCGTGTCACAGGGGTTGACTCGCACCCGTGACCCCTCGTTGTTATTTTTGGAATAGTTCAGTCCAGTCCAGTCCGAAAGGTCATACTCGGATCGACTCGCCTTCTGTACTTCACCTCCAAGCGTGCCGCATGGGTGTCTAGTTTTTGAAATTATTGAGGCAGCACATTTCGTTTACAGCCCATCACTCGCCAGTATTCTTTGAAAGACTACCAGCAATTTTTTTAGCTCCTGCCATGTCCGAACTACTTGATAGCAGTGATGGCAACAGCAGCAGTTATGAAACGGCGTGTAGTGTTGCGGTAACTGTTCAGAACTTTTCAGAGTCGTATCCTAGGTTAATCCGAATACTAAAAATTGACCCAAATTGCACATAACACGAAGCTGGTTTTTGAAAATTGTAAGTCGTGTATCTGCCCCATTTCTTCTTTATGACTTGCACAATACACCAGTCTTCCTAAACAACACATGTATAGCAGGGGTTAAGTACCATATAAGAGAAGTACAGCCAGTGATATTGTCATGTTGAAATACTACAATTTTGACACAAATTACACATAACACGAAGCCAGGTTTTGAAAATTGTAAGTCGTGTATCTGCCCCGTTTCTTCTTTATGACTTGCACAATGGTCCAGTCTGCCTAAATAACACATTTATAGCAGGGGTTATGTACCATATCAGAGAAGTACAGCCAATGATATTGTCATGTCTAAACACTACAATTTTGACACAAATTACACATAACACGAAGCTGGTTTTTGAAAATTGTAAGTCGTGTATCTGCCCCATTTCTTCTTTATGACTTGCACAATACACCAGTCTTCCTAAATAACACATTTATAGCAGGGGTTAAGTACCATACAAGAGAGATACATTGTACATCTAGTCATACTGTCATAAACAGCCAGCATTTTTCCTGCAGCAGTCACACAACCATCGTCATTATTTCCAGGGAAATCCTCTTACATTGTCAGCTCCTATGTCGTTAGATACAATGTAGGGGGCTGTAGGACCGGCTCGTCAAAAAATGGAGAACCTGAACACTTGAACTGAAGCGTGCTCGGGACGTCTCAGCAATCGTAGTATGCCTGAGCACTCCAATAAAAACTGGATCAATGGCAAAATCGTTCCCCACAGAAAAATCATACTTTGCGGGTCTTGCGTTGCACGCTTGGAGGTGAAGTACAGAAGGCGAGTCGATCCGAGTATGACCTTTCGGACTGGACTGGACTGAACTATTCCAAAAATAACAACGAGGGGTCAAGGGTGCGAGTCAACCCCTGTGACACGGATTTCTGTGCCGTGTCACCTCCCTAGTTTGAGTACGACTCCCTGCTCTCTATCCATCTCTCACTTTCTCTCTCTCTCTTTCTCTCTGTCAAATAGACCACTATGAGAGATCGTACACGCCAGCAGATAGCTCAGCTACTGAAAACGTCCACCCCAGGTGCGGGTAGCAGCAGTGGTGCTGCTACGGCTGCAAAGGCATCAGAGGCGGCGGCGGCAGCAGCAGCACAACAGCAGCCGCTTCGGGCTAGTGTACGTTTGCCCACTCCTAGCTCTGGTGCCACAGTTGCTGGAGCAGCACCGGCAATGGCTGTATCCAGTGAAGGCCAAACAACAGCTGCACAAGTGACCACCGTCAATGCTGTTGTCAGAAAACGTAAGAGAATTTGACTTTTAGAGCCGATTACAGTCAGTCTTGCAAACACCAGTTAGTACTACCTGTTAACCACTGAAGCCTCTTGTACGGGCAAGAAATAGATTGTGTAATAAATAGTGAGAAAGAACACCAACGCCAAGAAAAGAGCTAGCAGAACACACACTGTCATTGATCCGTCTGAACAGCAAGGGTAGTTAGAGCACATTACAGCTTTAAGGACACCAAGTCAGCAAACCAGTTGTGCACAGACCACAGCAAGAAGACCTACCTGTTCACCACTACAGCAGTGACAAACGACATACGACTTCATGAATAAAGCATAGCCGTGTAGACTGCATCAGCCAGTGTACATAGTACTAGGAAACTTGAAGCTTTGTGCTGGTTATGTCTATTAGATAGGATTGCACTTGCACCACTGCTGCATTTCTCCCGCGGCAGAAATGTAGTGTTCAGAACCTACTATTAAAACTTCTACGTGTCAAAGACCTGTCCAAGACAATACAGACATGCACAAGGACGCTCACACACGGACACGGACACACACACACACAAACACACACACACACACACAACTTGAAACGTTTGGTCTTTTTTCCTGTCCTCTGCTTCACCGGTGGCCACGTCACGGTTGGTGTTCTCATTACTGTGTGTGCCATTGAAACAGTGGAAGCAGCAGCAGGTCAGCAGCTCAAGACGCGTCCTGCTGCTGTGAAACGCCATGACTCAACATCTCGCTCAGCTCGGCCAGGCACTCAGGGAGGCAGTGGACTAACACGTCGACATACATTCACCACCCAGGTAATGCATAAGCTTGTTCCCCTCAATAACAGTGTCACCCTCAACAACAGTGTCACCCTCAATAACAGTGTCACCCTCAATAACAGTGTCACCCTCAATAACAGTGCCGCCCTCAATAACAGTGTCGCCCTCAATAACAGTGTCGCCCTCAATAACAGTGTCACCCTCAATAACAGTGTCACCCTCAATAACAGTGTCGCCCTCAATAACAGTGTCGCTCTCAATAACAGTGTCACCCTCAATAACAGTGTCGCCCTCAATAACAGTGTCACCCTCAATAACAGTGTCGCCCTGTAGTAGTAGTCATTATAACGGCATTTTTGTCTTTTCCCACAACGTGTGCTCTGCTAAGTCCGCCTGGACATGTGACTAGCTTGTCGAATGCTCTGGAGGCTCTTTAGAGATTTTCACAGTATAACAGTATAACAAGATAGAAAACATACATGCAGAAGATGGTAGTATTGTTCAATGTCCTCCTTTGCAGCGTTCCCGGGAGGACCAGACTGATGGTGGAGAAAGGAGTGCTGCTCAAATGAGACAACAGCAGCAGTTGCAACTGCTTCAACAACGACAGCATCAACAGCATCAACAGCAGCAGCAAATGCAAGCTGGTGTGAGTGCAGCATCTCAACACAATGCTATGGTTGCACAGCGTACCTTGGCCAATGCAGCCGATACATTTCCAGTGCCCAGCGGTGGACTTGGCTCTTCCAGCAAGGGATTCTCAACGCCGCCAATAGGATCACCTATTCGCACTGCGCTCAAAACAAGAGAGGTAAGCCTTGAAACTGGATGCAGGAAACAGGTTTTGCCAACTAAAACCATCATCATCAGTACAACTTGGGAAGATCAGCAAATGAACGATGCACGAGTATCAGTAGCGTGTCAATTGTTGGAATTTTTTGCAACCTCCTTAACACCACTCTTTTAAAGAGATTCAGAAGGTGCTTTTCATGCTTTTTAAGTCATCGCTTTAGACTATGCGAGTAACTTGCTTCACTTGCACGGCATGACTAGTCTTCTAGTCTCTTGAACATTGTCGAGCGTATTCCTAGGTCACACTCAGACAGTCCCTCTGGAGTACTGCAATGCATGTGTGTAGTCATGGCAACCGTGTGCATTCACTGCATTAAGTACATGTCTGTACTGCATTAGTGTACAAGTATGTACTGAACAAGTGAGATGATCATGGAATGCATGTGTACTGGGTTGCCCACTCAGAGTTTATCCACAACTCATGCCAGTACAACAAACAGCTCCAGCCATGTTGTGACAATGGCACAACGATTCGGACGTCAACTCTCCACACCAGCTATCAACAGCAGTGGGGCATCTCGTCACCGACATGAATCCCCACACAAAGCGTAAGTAGATACTAGATACACACATAGATAGATACACACATAGATACTAGATACACCGTCAACTTTAATAATAGTATAAACAGGTCGCACAGTGCCTGCATAAACAAATCATACGGGGTCATGCATCTGGCAATGATTGTTAACCAGAAGTTGCTTGTTGGTGGCGAGACTTAGACATTCCTGAATCGGCACATTCAGAGGCTTCAGGTCTTCTTTGACATTGTCAACCCATTGCTTGTGGGGTGGTCCACGGGGGCACTTGATGTCCGGAGTATTGAGGGCTAGCTGCAGTAAGAGGCCGCATCGGGTCAACTTTGTGCCACCTTATAATAGCAACAGAACATGAGCAATGAGCTAAGCCTTAGTTATAACTACATTTAGCACAAAAGCATCGTTTCCACCGCTCACACTTTCCATCTCAGATTACAAACAGTATTGAGTATCGCAGCAGCTCTACTAATCTGCCTTGTGCCGATACTTGAAGCTTTCTCTGCAGGAATGCATGTTCACGTATCAATGCTGTTCTGCATCATAATTGTTGTCTTTCTCATAGGCACCAACGTGGGCAAAGCCCTTCACCGCACGACAGTCCAACAAAGGCGGGTGAGAACATCGAACTTCCGACAGCAACTCCTCGTAAGAAGGTCATCAACTTCCTGCGCACACGCAAAACATCTAAAGAGAAAACCTCCCCGATCAAATACGATCCACAGCCGGCGGATAGCAGCCTGCAAGTGCTGAATGAGCTTAGCGAAACAAGCAATAAGGTGTGTGTCATGTGCCTTGTAACTGGTTACTCATGTGTGTGTGTGTGTGTGTGTGTGTGTGTGTGTGTGTGTGCGTGCGTGCGTGCGTGTGTGCGTGTGTGCGTGAGTGCGTGCATGTGTGCGTGTGTGTATGTTATATGGCTATATGAGCAGTGGAATGTACTGCTAGTGATCTGTTTATTGTTTGCCAAAGGATTCAGGTGCAGGTGATCAGGACTTGTCCTGTGAGCAGGTGCTTGGCATTAGATGGGAAAACAATACTCCCATCCGCCAAGGTTTGATGGTACACAAATGGCGGGTCAATTGAATTGTGGCTGCAGAAGCCCAGACCACAATGGGCATTGTGTTTGTGGAGTATTGGGTAAATGGCCATCAACATCTTTCCTTTGGCAGAAACCGTACACTAAAATTATAAAGCCAGTGACATGTTGTGAAGATGCGTGACTTGGTGGCTACCATGCTGTTTTTTATCCACCAGATGAGTTCCGATCACGTTAGCCAAGCCGGTGCTGCATCCTTGTCACGGTCTTTTGCACTGAAGCCCAGGGTGTTCACATCCGGTGATCATGCTAACTCCCTGGCACTGCGCCAGCCATTATCAAAGTCAGCACAGTTTGCAACCAACAGTACGACATCAACTGGCGGCAGACCGATGACACGCGAAGGTGCCCAGTCATCCTTTGGCCAGCAAGCACCATCCTATGGACAAAGACAAGGTGGCTTGACACCAGCATGGACGCAACCAGCATTCACGGCTGTGTACAATGTAAGCAAGTGACTGCATCGTATACGAGCTCGTATGTGTTGTGTCCGGCAGCAGATGAATCTTGCTCCTTCTCCCTCTCTTTCTCTCTCTCTCTCTATCTATATATATCTCTTTCTCTCTCTCTCTCTCTCTCTCTCTCTCTCTCTCTCTCTCTCTCTCTCTCTCTCTCTCTCTCTCTTGCTGTCTCTGTTTCTCCCAGCTCTTTTCCCTCCCTCTCCCCTTCTCAAGCTCTCCCTTATAATAATTGTGTGCATTACATTGCAATGTGATAGTGGAACAACCTTATATTCCTTTTTCAGTGTGGCATGGCCAAGAATCCCTAATGCACTCCATCGATGACCCGTGCAATTTGTTATGCTCCTCTCAAACACTATACAGAAGCAATCACCGCCTAGTTTGAGACGGACTGCCAGTACTAGTAGAAGTCGCCCTCGTTCAGTGGCCGCACCGAACGGCAACCCTCCTTTCGCCAATAGGGTAAGACAGGCGTGGTGCAAATAACTGTTGCAAGTTACCCAGGAAAGACATGTGATGACTGGATTCAAGTAAAATTGTATATCAGGAGGATGATGTTGGCATAGTGAGAGACCCGTTACTTGTGTACTGTGGATTTAAGAAATATCCTTTGAAGAATGAGAACAACAATGTGCTCATGACGTGTCCAGGTATGGTGGAAACGTCATTTCATAAACTTGGCATGCAATATATACTGTATATCTACTGCCTATTCGGTCAACCCTGACGGTTGTGTTCACATTATCAATTGTGTCCTGATCTCTGAAAACCCGACAGGCGTTCGTACCAACCGAGACACCTGATACTGGTGAGCTACCGCCACCTGTATTCCGCTACTCCGATCATGCCATGGAGGAAACTCAACATGAATATGATGAATATGATGCGGTAAGTGGCAAGAGCAATTCATTCAGGCACAGTGTTAGCAAGTGAAAACTTACCTAACAAGAGACAGGCCCCCAGCTATGCAGCCCCACCACTACAAACGCTGCAACGACGCTATGACCGTGGCCCTGCTTCTTTCGCGAGGTTGGATTCCCTTTCCACAATTGTAGGACGTTCCTTTTGGTGGCACCCCCCCCCCCCCCCCCTCCGTGTTCCATACACACACACACACACACACACACACACACACACACACACACACACACACACACACACACACACACACACACAGAGATCAATGGCATATGAGCTCTGCGACTAACCACATTGGTCTAACACTTTGACTCTTGCCCAATCAGGTGTGATTGTGTAAACTGCTATTGGGATTAGTAACTCTTAGATCAGAGCCAGTATTTACATGATGACCAGTCAAGCTTTTGCAGTTGCCTAAAGACTGTTGTTTTTTTCATTTCTCCGACTTCACTCAGGGCAATACACTTCCATCAAGATCGCGCAGACCAGGGGCATTTGGTGGAATTTTCGGCAAGGCTCTGCGCATGAAGAAACAGAATAAGTAACTATTTGCCGCTTGATCAGGACGACTACTTCAGATACCAATGGAGAAGAAATAGAAGCCTAAATTGTGCTTTATCTATCTAATTTATAATCATCTTGAACATTGATCTTTGTTGTATCATTCACTAATATTTCCACGTCGCCTATTCAAAGGTGCTTGGAAATCTAATCAAGCATATATACGTGTAACGTGAAATATGCATCCAACCTCTTTCGTGATTTCCAAAATAGCATGAAACACATTGCAGCTCTTGCATTTCTCAAGTTGTTATTATGTCGTGAATATTCTATGTAACATTGTTACACGGAATATGCACTTATCTTGAAATATCTACTTATTGTATTCATTGGTGAGCCTGCAGCCACACAGTCATGCAATCACGGGTGACTTTCCTTGAAGTAACCTTTTCAACATTTTGTTTAAGAGTCTTGACTTTTTACTACAGACACCTCAGGATTGAATGATCCATGCATGGGTGATGGTATTCAATTTCGTAGTACTGTGAAATCATCTTCTGTGACAGCTCACAGTTGAGAGCATAAGGAATTTCGTGTCGTCAGACCAGTGTCTGCTCTAGGATTGTAGGACAGCCGGGTACACGTGTACCTGGCGCAACCATTTCAACCGGGTCGGAGCCGGGTACACAATCATGTACCCGGCGCTGTCTCACCAGCCGAGTCACATGCTTTAACTGGTTGGTTTATTTTAATTCGGACAATAAACGGGAACTAGGCCCAATGATATAAAGGCGAATGAATAAGCCGCATTTAGAAAAGAGAGGACAGGAATTAGAAAATTACGAAAGAAGAAGAAGTATCTGACACATACAAGCCATGTAGTCAGTCATTTCAAAGTGTAAAATACCAACCGGGTCACAGGTAACCCGGTACTATATTTTCAACCGGGTCCAAGCGCCGCCCAACCGGGTGGATTACCCGGCTCATCCGGCGCTGGAGCAGACACTGCAGACCACAATATTGCAATATCTGTGGCATGTTGTATGCACTGTGCACATCCATGCGTGCAAGGAGGTTTGAGATTTGCTAGCTAGTGTTTGCCAAAGATATTTATTATGCCATGTGTGCATGCCATGTGTGCATGCCATGTGTGTGTGTGTATGTGTATGGACTACAATGGTAGGCAATGGTACTGTAGTCCATATACACATGGCCCGCCATACTGGCCATAGCTCATCAGCATGCTCAGGCCCGTTCTAGCCAAAGGAGGAGCCCCAGGCCACCCTACTAGTACTATCTTTATCTGGCTAGAACCCTGGTATTTGTCAGTGATGGAGGGGACTGCCAAGTAATTTAGTTAGTTCCAACGTCACTACACCTGTAGCAACAGTAGTAGGCACTTCAGTCACGTGACATGACCTGTCAAAAAGTGCTAACGCTGAATCGCGTACATGCATGGCACCAAGGAAAGGCGCATGCATAGATCGATCTGTAGCTACACGGAAGCTGCGCAGGGCCTTCTCGTGTGGCGCAGCATGTAGCTGAGGCCCTCAGCTTTCGTTTGAGCCCACATACGTCATGATGCGGCAATTTTTTGAACTCACGTACAGTTCGAGTAAAATCGGCAAGGATTTTTCGGGCATTTCACTTGGTTGCACGCATTTGCCATGTAGCTCATCGTCTTCAGCGTCGTATTTCCTTTCGGAATCAGTTGTCCTCGTTCGTCCAACACTTTGCGCATTGCTGCGCAAGGAGAAATAATGCGAGGTGTTATTGGAAGCGAACCGCGACAGGCGTCCTCCCGGCAATAGTCCTTGTTCGTCGGAGCCCATGCGCATGGCTGCGCAAGAAGAAATATTGCCAGGTGTTATTGGAGTCGCATCGGAGCAGTCGTCCTCTCCTGCAGGCGACGAGTAGGACAGTATATACTTCGGCGACTGGACCAAGAGAGCTGACATCAAAACGGCCTGCTCGGAACAAATCGTCAGTTGATCAGCAGGTGGCTTCCAGCGACCAAGAAAAGCATTGACGGTGATATTGTACCAAGAATCCAGCACACACTCTATGCACAAAATCTCTCATGCTGGAGTTGCTGAAGTTTCAGTAGTCCCAAAAATTTGCAGACGATGTTCTACATGTAATAGTTTGTCATTTCTTTCCGTCAAATACCCGGTAAATTCTAGTTTGCTCAGTCTTCGGGACATTGTTCCGTACTCGTCACCACGTCAGTACTGTACATGTAGCAACAATGTGTTCTGGCACTGAATTATTGTAGTTACTTTATCTTACCTCAAAGTCTCATCTTATGCTTTTCCAAAGGCTTCTCTGCACTGTTTTCATGCTGTTGCGATGGAGTTGCTATGCTGTTGCTATGGAGTTGCCATGGTGACCACACCCGATATCTTCGTCGGAGCTGCCGGACGGATGAAAAATCCGAAGTTTCTCCAAACCATGCTGTTTCTGCATTCATCTGGTTATTTTGACCTGCTTCCAGCGAGCCTGGTATTTTGCCACTATAGACACTGAAGCAAGTTCTGCCAGTTTCTGATATGCTGCTGGTGCCGTCGAAATACTGAAAATGCCGTTATTCAATTCTCCGACTTTGGGTGGCTATATCTCTGTGCCAAGTTATTCTTTTTGCTTCAAATTTTCTGTGGAGTCTTCCTAAACCTATCTGAATCGGATACAAAAAAGAAATACGCGTATTTCTCGTTTTGAAAAAATCGCCTGAAGTGCCTAACAGTAGATCTACCCCAGGCTCTACTCTGCCCAATACCAGAATACTAGGCAGTAGATCTACCTACGTGTACTGACTCAGTGACTGTGGTGGAGCTGCTGCTTGAAATCTTGCTTCGAAGTCCAGCCTCTTATCTGCATCTGCCACTGGACCGTTGCTAGGTCGTGTGCCACTTGTCAACGTAAGTCGGGGCCGTGATCTGATCTGGTGATCCTCCGCCGTAGATCTACCCCTCAGTCCGTGGGCATACCGGTAGATCGGTCTACCTACATTTGTAGCCCGGTCTTGATTTGGTCAGTTAGGCACTGGCTGGGGATGTCTCCATTTGCCCAGTAGGTGACTCCATGCCTGTGCAGGGCAGAGCTGTGTTGGAACAGCAGCCACTATCCCAACTCGGCCTGTCTGTATACCTACACTGTAGGTTTTCGAGGTGAGGGTGCAACCCAATTTTCATCTACACTGTGAATCCAGCATTTTTCTTTGATATAAACGGTTACTTTTCGAGCAACATCTTAGTTTCGTAGAAAGGGCAGTAGCTTTCAACTGACCAGACGGTGTGACTTGGATGGTGCAGCATCACTCACCCGGAGCACAGAAGTATCGCCGCCACAGCACTCAGTTGGTCGCACCATGACCGCGCCACTCATCTGTGTTTGCGCGCTACTAGTAGCCGCAAAGCTGGGGATCTTCGCTCCGGCGGCAGCCGATGATCGTCCCAATGTCATCCTGATGTTATCCGATGACTGGGGCTATGGAGACGTGGGTGTCTATGGAGGTCCACATTACCCAAGGAGCGGTACGAAAGTGAGAACTCCGAACATCGACACGATGGCAAGGGAAGGTGTGATTTTCACAGGTGAGAAGAACTGGAAGTCCGTGGTAGCGATTCTTTATGTCTTCTGAGCACACCTTTCCCCTCCGTGTAGGTAGCCAGTGCAGGCTAAATTTTATTTTTCAAGGAAACCCTTCGAAAATGGTACCAATCGATTCAGCATGGCATTTTCATTCCTCCTGCGAAGTTTCAGCTGATTTGGAGTCATGACAAGGACGCTATGGCGATTTGAAGATCGAAAAACTTCAGTTTTGTTTGTCAAGAAGAAAGGCCATGCGCCATGATCGCACACAAATCATACAACCCGTGTGGCACAATAATTTTTGAACGAAGTAAGTAGTTGATCCGCGGACCGCGTGCTTCGCGCATGCACGCATGCATACTGGCATGATACTGCACAGTTCAGAGGCTTTTTTGAACGCAGATATGTAGTTCTTCGTCTTCTTCGAAATGTCTTCCAAATGCGTGGTGCTGGTGTTGTTCTCAGCTTCGTCAAGGCAGAATGCAGCTGCATGTGATGCTCCTGTGTGTTCATGCATGTTCTCTTTTCGCGTCTCGACATTGTAGCGTCCAGACTCAGCTCGACTGGAGAAGATTGAGGAGACTATGCTTTGATCCACATGGAAAATCGATGAAATTTGGTAATTATCGTCGGGCGCTAAAAAGCGCTGGGGAGCATGGGGCTAAAACTTCGTAGCAGTCATCCCTACCATGACAGGCATCGACTGGTATATGTTCCATTCTGTTCCCAACCACTACGGGTCGTCTGCGAAGCTTTCTTCTTCGCCGATTCTCGGACAGATCGTACGTCTTCGCACTGTATCTCTCGTCTCCCTCAACGGATCAAAACACGGTTTTCGCCAGGACGAACACAAACCCCCAGATTTCGCGGCGGCAACATCTTCGAGTAGGGAAAAGCTAGCAGCTAACCAGGAATCACCAACAAACACGTGTAATACTCAGTGTGATTTGCGACAGCTGTCATTGTGCCGTCGCACCATGCATGTGACATGCACGGGAATGGAACACGGATGAGTCGTTTTATTACGACAGCCTGCACTGTAGGTTTGTGCGTGCATGCGTGCGAAATCTTGCGATGTCAGGAGCAATGCATGCGCATGGTGCACCGGTGCTTCATACAATCATGATGTGGCAAAATTCGTATGGTCAGAAGAAAGACATGCACCGGTGCTGGTAGATTGGTAATGCATGCGCAAATAATTGAGGTAGGTGACTGGGCGACAACGAGAAACCTCCATACTTTGAATACATGCTTGCTATGCATGCTGCCCCACAGTCAGTTCATGCGACTTAGTGAACAAGGGCGTCGGAACCGCACCGGCCGGGGCGGCCATGGCCGCCCCACTTTTTCGGCAGTTTTTTTTTTTTTTTTTTTTTTAGCACACTGCAACAAAGCGCGATGATCTCAGCGCAAACGTGGCAAATCCTTGTCCCCGATCGTGGTTTGTTGCAGAATCAAAAGTCAATGCCTGGGAATGCTTGCAATTGGCTTCAATTTTTGAATTTTTTTCCCGGGGGAGGGTAATGTTTGTCCCCGATCGTAGCATCTTCTTGGTTTTTTGCAGAATCAAAAAGTCTTTCATTGTAGTTACCGTACACTGAAATGGCACCAAATGCCCGGAAATGCTTGCAATTGGCTTTATTTTTTGAAATTTTTTCCCGGGGGAGGAGCCCCGGACCCCCCTTCCATGGCCGCCCCACTTCCAAAGTCGTTCCGACGCGCCTGGTGAATATATCAGATCTGCATTTCGTACTTGGGCCAGTGTGTATAGTGTGCAGGGTTCTAGCCAAAGAGGGGTAGGGGGCGCAGCCCCCCCTCCCCCCCCCAGGGTCCAGCGGATAATGCCGGCATTATATTCGGCATTATAAGACTATCCGAGCATTAGAGCATTATGGAGCATTAGGAAGGAACAAGACGAGCATTATGTGAGGTTTGAGCGGCATAACGAGTTTTATAGTGGATAATGTCGGGAAATCTCATGGTTTTTGGCAACAATCGGCTAAAGCCATGACTGCATGAGGTGCAACGCCATACTATTGTACCGGCACATGACTTTGTGAGTGTAGACACCGTCACACGTAACACCTTTACTCTTTAGCGCTACATTTACCTGACTACATACAGTAATGTCATTGCTACATACAGTCTTTATCATTATGTAGCAATGTCAGGTAAATGTACATGTGATGTAGCATGCCCAACGTTGCAACTGAGGCTGTTTATGCTTCAAAGTGCACAAAATCCGTAACGATGATTTACGAGGAATTGTTTAGAAATCATGGAGAGCCATGGATGATGGAGGAGACTACGTGGATCTACGCGAAGTGAATATCAAACAGAGGAAGAGGAGTTTCCTGTTAATAAAAAGTGTTATGCCATAGGCTCTGGCCATAGCATGTCTAGCGATACTGAAGTCAACACTAATCCATTGATTTGGACCTGCATGAAGGAGCGTCTATAAACGGATAGAGCTTACTCCAAAATTAATAACTGCCTTTGCCGAGTCCAGCTCAGCAGGCTCGAAAAGAACTAGAATTTCTCATAGCCGCAGCACCAAGTCGATTTGAGTGCTCAGCAGCGCATGTTTTACTTTCCTGGTGAAGCACGTACAGTTCGTCGTGGACGATTGTAATACAAGGCCTATAGTCAAGTGCTATCAGAAAAGAAGAGTATTGTGGCCAACCATTTGTCTCCACGCAACCTCAGGAGAAGAAGACAGTGCAAGCAGAGGGTGTAGCGGAGCGGCAAAATAACTTCTGACCACGTGTGTTCAGGATTTCCGCAAATGGGAGGGATCTCGATCTGAGATCGTCTCTCAGGAACTTGCCTCACGTAAGCTGCTTCAGATGAAGACATTTTTCACAGAGTGGAAGCAGTGACAGCTTATCTGCAGGCAGGAATATCACTTTCCATGATAAGCTTCCAGCATCCAATTGATCACCAGCAATAATGGTCTCACATCCCACTTCATGGATAAGTAAGGGAAAAGATTTGATACACCCACAGTTCAGCCACAGCCCTGCATCAAAGTCGCAATGGAGAGCAGCCAATGGAGACGCGATCATGTCGTATTGTGCTAAGAAGTGGTGGAGCTCGTGAGAGATATTGCAGCAGCTTTAGAGGCAGATTGACTATATGCATCCTTTCCTGGAAGTTTGACAATGTGCAGCCTTTCTTCCATTATTGTTCCAAACCAAGAGCATTATAGCCCTTGTTGGAGCATTATAATCAGCATTATCAGGTAGTTTTTGGAGCATTATGATTAGCATTATACGAACATTTTCGGAGCATTATCCGCTGGACCCTATCCCCCCCCCCCCCCCCCCGTGAAAAGTGCCGCCCCTACTCATTTTCCGATCTTTGTGTTTTTCATGCCATTCAACGAAAAATGCAGTCAATAGTCAATACTAGAGGGTTCAGAAAGGCACGTTTGTGTGGGGTGCAGTCAGGTGTTCGCCCCGTACGTTGCATTTCGCATTGCAAGACTGTTATTTTGAAAATGGAAAATGGGGTACGGGGTAACTGTTTTCCCTGCCCCCCCCCCCTCCCCCCTACTATTTTGTGACCGGGCTAGAAGCCTGAGTGCGCATAGTGTTAGGGGCATACCGCCATGGTCCTGTTCTACCACGAAGCTCATTGAGGTCTGATTCGCCTTGAGCGATGGTGTAATTCAGTGCAGAGTTGTCCATTACCCGTCACAGCCTGATAGCTGCTGCATGGGTAATCATAGGTATTCATGCGTACTGCGCAATCAGGCCCGTTGACTAGTTTAGGCAAAAATGTACTGCTGTACTGCAAAACTGTTGTACTGTTGTAGTTTTGTTGATAGCTCTAAGAGTACCGTAAAAGTCCGTAAATAAGTACGTATTTACTTTCGAATTTAGTGACCACACCCGTACTAACTTTCGGACGGGTACTGATTTTCGGACATGAACTAACTTTCGGACCTGACCTGTGTGTAGTGGAGAAGTCATTTTAATGTCGATGTACATGCTACGTGCTGCATGTGGGCATCGTACCGGTACGTATTTCGGGCAGTATGTTTATCGGGCTTGACTTGACTTCAACAGACAGAGCCAAAAGAATGAAGGGGGTATTTCTTTCGGGCAGGTACTTATTTACGGACTTTTACGGTATGGCACAAGTCAGTGAGTGTACTGGACACTGCTGTGCTCTTCTTCTTGCTTGTTGCTGCAGACTACCACACAGCAAATCCAGTATGCTCGCCAAGCCGAGCTGCTCTCATGACCGGCCTTTTCCCAGCCAGAGTTGGCATCCACACAGCACTCAATTCCAATGCAGAGGCAAACAAAAAAGAAGGCCAGGTCAACTTCCTCAACTTATCTGTTCCCACGGTTACGGAGCACTTCCAGAAAGCCGGCTATCTAGTGGGGCACTATGGCAAGTGGCATCTTGGTGGTACCAAAACTCCACCATCGCCAGCACCGACATCGTATGGAATAGACTCGGCGGTGACATTCAACTCCAACGACCCAGCCCATCAGCTGGGCAACGAATCAGCGCCATACTGGGCTGGTGTGTCTTCATCGCTCATCATTGACAACGCAATCAAGCTGATCAGTGAGGCTACTGCCCAGAAGAAACCATTCTACCTGAATCTCTGGTTTCACATTGCCCACGCAAAACTCGACCCAACTCCTGAACAACTAAGTGCATTCACAGCGGAATGTAGCCAAGAAGAGAAAGCCGTTAACCAGACCTATTGCCCGGGACAGATCTATTGGGCATCACAAACTGACACAGACACGCAAATTGGACGACTGATGGCAGCCCTAAAACAACAAGGTCTGTACAACAACACACTCTCTGTCTTCACCGCAGACAATGGACCAGAGGATGTCATGGTCTACCACAATGCCCAGGGAACTACTGGTCCGTGGAGAGGAAGGAAGCGCTCACTGTATGAAGGCGGACACCGCGTCCCGTTCATTGGTCACTGGCCGGCAAGGATCAGTGGCGGGCGCGTCGACCATTCCATTCTAGGTGGTGCTGATTGGTTTCCGACCGCCGCTCAAATGGCCGGCATACCTCTTAGCAGTGGTGACTTGCAGAAGATCGATGGAGAGGACATGTCTGCAGCGTTCCTCAATGGCAAAGGATCAGCACCAGAGTCCCGCGAGAAGATGCTGTTCTGGGAATGGAGATTTGGTGTTGCCGGTCACTGTTGGAATCAAGCACCACACTTGGCCGTCAGGAATGGCACGTGGAAGTTCATGATGAACAGTGACGGCACTCGGCACGAACTCTACGAGATGGGAAATGAGCCAGGCAAAACACAGCACTTTGAACTGAAGAACGTGGCAGCTGCAAATGCAGACATTGTGGCCAGCCTCAGCATAGCCCTATCTGACTGGCTGAAAACATTACCGAAAGGTCCTAACTTCACCCCGAACAACTTTGGTTGTGGCACATCTCACATGCCAGCTATACATGATCCCGCAAACTAACCTTCCCTGCATTATGTGTAGCTGTTTGTAGTGTTATAACTATAGTACATGTATAACCTGCATGTTCTCCTGAGACTGCATGCATTACATTACAGTGCAGTTCGCTGACATGCTTCTTTCCGTGTCACAGCATGTCCTCTTTGTGAGCATGCTTCCAATACCGTGGCAATGATGAGCTCTGGTACAGTATAGGAATCAAGTGTATCACAGTGTATCCCGGGAGACCCACGTGACCAGTTTTGGCAGTGAGCAACAAGTACAAGTATGTGTGTGTGTGTGTGTGTGTGTGTGTGTGTATGTGTGTGTGTGTGTGTGTGTGTGTGTGTGTGTGTGTGTGTGTGTGTGTGTGTGTGTGTGTGTGTGTGTGTGTGTGTGTGTGTGTGTCAACCTGTTGGAAGGCTTCCTTCTTGCCAAAGCATTTTGGAAGTTGGACTAGTTTCGGCTCCACAATCCAGTGTGTCGTTACTATAATAGCTTTCATGGCTGAGGTTGTTGGTATGTCTGTTGGCTCTGGGTTCCCAGTACTCAGTAGCCGAGGCTGGTTGGTACAGTAACTCCAATTTCACTTCAAGGTACCAGTGCATCTAGTGTCTGCTTCTATCAAAGCAGCATGCTGTCTATACTGGTTACCCCAGCAAGTGTAGGGTGTGCATAGGTAACTGTCTTGGCCGTTTTATGCCGATGTACTCCGTGTGGTGTAGACCAGGTGTGCATTGGTGGTCAATTCACATGGCTTTGCCAGTTGTGTGGATTAGACAGTTATCTGGCGCAAGTCTTGATCTGTCTCATTCAGATCTTGTTCGCTATCGTTGCTATAAGAGAAAATCTGTGGGTGCACATCCAGTGCATTTGCAGATTTGCGTGCTTCTCTTGCGACGGGCGTATACATGGCACATGGTACATGGTGTGTGTGTGTGTGTGTGTGTGTGTGTGTGTGTGTGTGTGTGGTGTGGTGTGTGTGTGTGTGTGTGTGTGTGTGTGTGTGTGTTTCACTGGCCAGAAAAAGTCACTTCAATCAGCTGTGTGGTGGATACCAGGCTAAAAATAGTGGCGGTCAATTCATCAGCCTTGCAAGCTGTTGAATGGTGTAATCCCAGCACAAGTTGCTATGTCTAACATAGCTGTTCGCTATCATCGCTTCCGCGATGGGCAGGTCTGAGGTCTGAGGTGTGTGTGTGTGTGTGTGTGTGTGTGTGTGTGTGTGTGTGTGTGTGTGTGTGTGTGTGTGTGTGTGTGTGTGTGTGTGTGTGTGTGTGTGTGTGTGTGTGTGTGTGTGTGTGTGTGTGTGTGTGTGTGTGTGTGTGTGTGTGTGTGTGTGTGTGTGTGTGTGTGTGTGTGTGTGTGTGTGTGTGTGTGTGTGTGTGTGTGTGTGTGTGTGTGTGTGTGTGTGTGTGTGTGTGTGTGTGTGTGTGTGTGTGTGTGTGTGTGTGTGTGTGTGTGTGTGTGTGTGTGTGTGTGTGTGTGTGTGTGTGTGTGTGTGTGTGTGTGTGTGTGTGTGTGTGTGTGTGTGTGTGTGTGTGTGTGTGTGTGTGTGTGTGTGTGTGTGTGTGTGTGTGTGTGTGTGTGTGTGTGTGTGTGTGTGTGTGTGTGTGTGTGTGTGTGTGTGTGTGTGTGTGTGTGTGTGTGTGTGTGTGTGTGTGTGTGTGTGTGTGTGTGTGTGTGTGTGTGTGTGTGTGTGTGTGTGTGTGTGTGTGTGTGTGTGTGTGTGTGTGTGTGTGTGTGTGTGTGTGTGTGTGTGTGTGTGTGTGTGTGTGTGTGTGTGTGTGTGTGTGTGTGTGTGTGTGTGTGTGTGTGTGTGTGTGTGTGTGTGTGTGTGTGTGTGTGTGTGTGTGTGTGTGTGTGTGTGTGTGTGTGTGTGTGTGTGTGTGTGTGTGTGTGTTCGGGGGGGGGGGGAGGGGGGTGCTAGTCCACTGCTCCAAGATTGATTCAACAATAATTATCTGATTTGAACAGGCAGCCTGTATCTGCCTTTCAACTCACTATTTGTATGTGTATTTGTAGCAGCATGTCCAGGTTCGAGTGAAGGTGTAGAGTGGAGTCTAGATGTGTGCATGTACGAATGATGGCCTTTTCCTGCCTCTCCACATTACAACATGACTGCACGTAGTGTACTTCGTCCTGTGGCGCTCCTCCGCGGCTTCGGACGTCGACAGCATGTCACTGTTACATGTCTTACATGTACTTGTAGATCACAGTCAGTTGCACCCGACATCGACACCACGAACTGAAGAAGCCAGAAATATCTGCAGTATGATTGCAGACATGTACTACCGGTATAATGTGGATAGCACGTGATAACATACATATGCCATGGTACATGGTCCTGAGTAACTAAACTAGGAACTCAAAATAAATATTAGAGCTGGCGAAGGGTGAGAGCAGGCTAGGCTGAAGTCGCGTTACACGATTGCCCGAAGGGCGAACCAAGCGTGGAAAGCACGCAGTCCTTCTTCCCCTCCTCCCAATCCCCTCCTTCACTGTCCTACTTCACCCAGTCTAGCAGCAAATGTAGATGAACACAGTGTGCCTTTCCTTCTCACCTCAGAATGGCGGAGAGAGAAGCGCTAGAACCATTGCTAGAGAATGAGGATGCCAGGCGACAGCGCCAGAAACAGCAACAGGAGCCGAATAGCACGCCTGGCAGAAAGAAGTCACGCCGTGTGGGCATCGTTGAGCCTTTACCTGTGTCCAGATCATCTGATGTCAATTTTCAGCCAGAGGGCGCCGATCAGCCACCAAATCTTTCACCACCTTTGAGTCCAAGTAGTGCGGATAAGCCATTTCGAAGATCCATATCCGTGTATGTAGCTGGTGATCGCCAGGAAGAGGAACGACAGAGGTTGATGGCTGGTGTGAAGTCCGTTGATATCTACACAAGACGCTGGTACATTTTAGCAATGGCGGCCTTGCTGGCTATGCTGGAAGGGTGCATCTGGAACACGTGGGGTCCCATAGCCGCTCCCGCGCAGTTAGTTTTCCAATGGAGTGAAGCCGACATTGCCCTGTTGGCTAACTGGGGCTGCATCGCATACTGCGTGACTGCATTCCCACTGTCCTGGGTCATGGATGCAAAAGGTAATTCTTAGTCACTGTGGTTAGTGGTGTCTCACTAGATCACTACGCTCAAAGTCTGATTGTCATTCTACTGAATAGAAGGAAATTCTAGACCGCTGCAACCTG